AGAAAAAACAACGTAGGAAAACAAGAAAATTTACGAAAATAATACTTTTATTGGTTTAAATTTTGTTATTTGTTGTAATTTTGTTTTTTGATAAAGTAAAAATATTCACAAAGTCTTGAAATTTGTACAAAAATTTATATTTGCCTTTTTTAGACGCGATCAAATTCTCAAATCATTTTAGCCATTTTTGAGCAATTTACAGGCATTTTAATTTTGCAAGTTTTTACGTAATTTTTATTTGGTAAGTACCTTGTGATTAAAACTGTTAGAGTAAACAGAAATTCTTGAATATTTAACGGGAGGTTCATTTTAAGTATTACTTAGTGGTGAAAAATTAAAATTGAATGTAATGAAGTATTTTTTTATGTACGAATTTTAAAATCAAACTTTTACGAAAATCGTAAATATCAAAACATGTACAATCAAAGTTTTCTCCGAATAGTTTTTCTCTAGCAATTATTCGTCGGTGCTTGCAGATATAAATTTAATAACTTTATATATACTACATCCTCAATTTCCTATCTACCGTGGCACACCCGTCCCCAGTATCAGGTCTTTATTTTATTTTGTTTTTCCATGGTTCGGTTGCGTGCGCAAAATTGATTTATGAAAGGGGGTTACCATTTATATGCATATAAATAAAATGTTTATACAATTGTATTCTTCTTTATATCATGCATGTTTTACTTCTGGGGGGGGGGTGGTTAAACCCCCATAACCCAACCCCCTCCCCCCGTCGGTACGCCATTGCCATGGCTATCCATAAACCTACAAAAAGAATTCAATTTTCATACCAAATATACCAACAATCCCGTGTCGGTTAGTAGCCCATGATATTTCCGGTATAGAAATATGCGATCTACGCTGCGATTCAGCTCAGTACAGTGCAATTTCGGCGTAAAAGGGTTACAAATGACCGTTCGTTCAAAAAAGAACTTTCGCATTTACAACATCAGTAGGACATAATACCTATTAATAAAACTCTAGGTAGTACCCAAAAACCATGACAAAAATCGATTCGTTAATTTTTGCGCGTGTACACTACCGAACGTACGTCCGTGTATTGTAAATTGTATTACGTCGGGCGTAGGTAGGATGACAAAACCACAGTAATTTGCGTAACGAAAATTATTATTTCATTTGAAAGTATAACAGCTGCTGATGTTAAAGTGAAACCGAATATTTGACCGTTTCACCGAACTTTCATCTCGGAACTTCGGTTTAAATATTTGTTTAAAGTTTGGTCAACTCTTTGCACTTTGCGGTCGACACACGCCACGGTCTTGTTTTTGCATAATTATTTATGTATTTACCAAACAACAACACTAGGTACAATATTAACGGGATTAATATAATAAACCTAACGTAATATAATTTAATTCGTAATTAAAATATAAATTTCGAAGTTTCGAGTTGAAACCCAAAAATCATTTGTCGACTTGGAAATAAACCACGTTTATACATATATTTATATAAGGAGTGTTTTTTTTTTTATGGCATTTTGGATCTATTCGGTGTATTGGGTAGCCATTTTTCGATATTCTTTGCATTATTTATTAGGAAAACCTGGAAGAAACGGATAAATTTAAAGCGATAACTATTTTGATTTTCTAGATATTGAGTTATTTATTTTAATCAAGTTTGAACGAACACTTTTTAGAGAACACTGATATTAACTTCCATTGAACGCGGTAAATCGTTTTGGTAATTTATGAATTATTATTATTAAACATTTAACATTTTCGAATTTATTAGTTTCAATTTAATTTTGGAGTTAACTGTTGAAAATTTTAAACAAATAATTCAAGGTAAGCACAACCAGGAGGACATTTTGTATCTCTCAACAGGTACTGCGTGAAAAATTCTAAGCATTTAACACAACAAAGCGGATTTTTTTTTTAAAGCAATTTTTTAGAAAAAGTATTAGGAATTTCGAAAATATGTTCAAATAAAATATCATCAGATGCAAATCCCGCATTTTTTTAATGTACCTATGACTTTTTTACTAGCTAAAAAGTTGATTTCCGAGAAAAAAAATATTTATTAGTAAAACTAATAGCCTCTTCTTCCTTCAACTTAGAATCTAAAAATAGGTTACGGATAAAACACAGCTGGTATAGTTGTTACCTAATTTGTTTTAAATTTAGATTATTTTGATTACAACCTTAGTATTAAATTAATCAACACAAAATAACATTTTATTTTTGAGAGGGGTGCGTCAATGACCAATATAAATTAATGTATTGATATGGACACGGTTTGGACAGTTTATTTCTCTCACTACCTCCCCCCCCCACTTTTTTAAATTTTCAACTTATTTTACAGGAACCTTACTTTATGGTTTTTAAATTTCAGACAACCGTAGGTCTATAAATCCACAGCTTAGTCGAGTTACTGTTTAATAAATCGGATTACAAAATATGTTATTTTATTTCACTATAAGTAGAAAAAAAACGGCTTTATTTCGCACGATGAGTGAGCCACTGTTGTAGGTGCGAATTTGAGAAAATAGAGGGAAAATTGAATGTATGTGCGCAACGATTAATCATTGCTAACAAAAAATGATTCTGAGCGAAGTTTGGTTATTAAATTATTAAATTTCTGGTAGAAAAGTTGTTCACAGAAAAAAATACGCCCTCATCATAATAAAATTGCGTAGAACTATTGCAGATTATTTCTCGTGTAATATCGTCGAATGTTTAATCCATGCGCTGATAGTTAATATCGTGATAGTTGTAAAATTTGGAACCGTAATAATCGTTGGTATCCGTCGTAAGACAGTTACTATACATATTTAGGTAGTACACACTTTATCAATGTATTTTTTTACTGTTTGTTCGGCCATTCTTCACAAACGTTTTTATCGAAATCGCTATTACCATCATATCCTCTACTACTACTAATATTACTATATTATCTAGATACACTATTGATATCATCGTATGAACGGTGTCTCTGCAATAGTTACTATCGAGTTAGTTGCAACAGCATACGATAGACGTGTGGTCCGGGCTTATATACGTAACAGCGGCGGATTTGTGGAAAAGGGCAACGTGGCGATCACCCCCTTCCTTCCCTTGGAGTTTTGTAAGACATTTTTATTACGTTAATAGGTGTCCAAAGTCGTGAACATGAGGTTGGCGTATCCAGTTTTGTGTATTTGAACACACAAATGTGAGTAAAGTAAACAAATTTTGGACCCTCCCCCCTCTTGAAACTCGTTTCAGTTACGGTCATTTTTAACTACCTATATGATACCAGATGGTTTTCCGCTACCGCCTTAAATGGTTTAAATGAACTTCAGATTAACCGTTGTGAATTTTGTAAATTTTCAGGTGCGAATACATTCGTTTCGTTTAGCGTTTCCGCGCAGCCGTCGGCCGAAACTTCAACTATAAGATCACGGGCACACATGCTCTATACTATTATGACCTATACCAATAAGGTATAAACTGTAATCTAATATACACATGTTGTGAGCGTAACGATGCGAACTTTGGACCGCAGTCTATAACCACGCCGGTCACGTTCACGTTACCACGCGCACATCTATACGGACACTGAACCCGATGCGGGAATCCCTTTACCGGAGCCACGTGCGTCGGAGCACGTAGACAGTCTGCTCCGGTTAGCTGCGGAGGTCTGGCGAAAATCCGTTTCCGTCTGATAATCAGACGAATATAATTATTATTAATATAATCGGGAGAAATGTGAAAAGGTCGTGGTGTCTCGAAGCGTTTTACTGTTTTATTCTTTACGGCGACGTCGTCAGCGTTGTGCCGCAGTGCGTACAATGCACATCCGACTTGTTATTATAATATTATCATTCTCTACTACGTATTATAATAATTATTAGAGTTCAAACGAAAACAAAAGTCACCGCATAATAATATTATTTTCACGCGTCACGATATCAATAAAACAATTATCACGTGGTAAACCGTGTGGAAATCAGAGCTATAAAAACGATTCTGAGTGAAATTCGTTTATACACGATTTAAAAGGCTTTTATAGGTAATTTACGACATTAATCAAAGTTTGATCTTAAAAGAATTTAAAAAAAAAAACTGAATACTTTGCACAAAACTTTTTTTTAACCACCACTAAGTATAACTTTTAATCAACCTCGCGTTAAATTTTCAAGTATTTCTGTTTGGCAAAAACAATCATATTCACATAATAGTACCTACTAAAATAAAAACTACGTAAAAATCTAGCACGTATAAGATGTCTATAAACAGCCCAAAAATTACTTGATACTACTTGAAAATCGGAATTAGTTTTCTAGTATGAAAAGTGTTCACATACAAAAAAAAATAAACATTATTGTAAAACCAATACATTCCTCGCTCTGCTCAGAATCTAAAGTGCATATTAAATTAAAACTAAGATCAAAATCACATCAAAATTAAATTCAAATTGCATAGCTCTGAGAAAGGATATTGAGTGTATTCAATTAGCGTTTTCATTCAGTTTAAATACAAATATTATCTTGTTGGCTGTTGCACGTTTTATTTTGCTACAATTTATTATTTTCTGCTTTAACTTATCAACTTCTCTACCAGAAATCTTACTTTAATGGTAAATTTCAAGTGTAGTCTCCGATGAGAAATTCTATCCAGTCAGTACATTGGAGAAATCATTTTTTGATTTCTATTTTAAAATTTAAGTTTTTACGATTTTAGAATTTCAAAACTTACGTTTAACCGAACTTTACTTATAATTCCTTTTTGTTGAAAACGATTTATCGTTGTAGATGGATATAACTTAAATGACCCTATATTATATTTTACCTATCCAACTCCTCATATCTATCTACAACAGTAGTACACCCATCAACATTAGGTGCCCATCAACTCTTGTAGCATATAATGCATTTTTCGCTAAGAGGGAACGTTTAGACGTGCGAATAATAATTATTCATTTAGGTCGATGTGTTTTCGACGTGGAATTAGAACAAACTAAAGTTTTTAAAACTATAATATAGTTTTTTGTTTGGGATGTGAACCGTGCACGACTGTAATGAGCGCAACGGGCGAATAAAATATTAAATTGTTTTTAAAAATCTATTTAACTAGTGCTATATAGTATATTGTATAATCCAAGTTCGAATCAAGAAAAACCGCTCATCTGACTCGTACGCTGAAGGTTCAATGAACAACTTTAAAAAAGTATAATACAGGGTGATTTTTTTTATCACGAACCAGCAATTTTCTCGGAAGATTTAAAGTGAATTTGATTATTGATTTTTTTAATCTTTAGTGTAATCATTCGATTTATTATCCTTCCCTACTCCTGCAGTCTAAACTTTAAACAGTTATAACTCATAACCGGTAAATCTGATATTAGTGTTATGCATATCAAAATGTCTAGAAAAATATTATCTATTTAGATCTGAGTTCAAAAAGGGAGATTCCTAGTTGAATAATTAAAATATATAATTGTTTTACTAAAACAAAAAATAATTGAAATATGAATATCTTTAGTTCTAATACCTGTGAATAATATAAAAAAAAACAGAAGTTCATTATCTTTATTATTTTTGGATTTTTCAAAAATACAAAAAAAATTCGTACAATTTTAGAATTTATACGTTTGCTCTTTGTTTATGTTATTATTATTTTATAATATAGTAATGTTATAATCAATGTGATATTTAGTTCTCAGAAACACTGAAATTCTATACAATATATTATACTATAACAATAATAATTTTGACTGCGAGTAAAATAATAATTATTTTATTCGGTTTGTCATTCTTATCCCCCTAATTCCCGAAACCTCCTTACTTAGCATAAAAATATAAACAATATCAACTCGAAAGCGTTTTGAAAAGTTATTATTGTTTTCGGGAGTGTTATTAACTTTTTGATTACGCCGCCGCTGCCCTGCAGATATAGTAAAACTAAAACTTATTTTATTTAATATTATACCTTCTTGTGAACATCGTACAATAGAAATATTTATTAAAACTCAAAAGAAAACTATCATGTGGTACTCTAGACCCGTACAATACGTGCTACATATTTCGTTTCAGGTGTTAAAACCAATTATTGTTACAATATTTTATTTTTAGTATAATTCGGTGATAATAATGCGATAGGGGCCAATTTATTTATAAATTTCGATTAGAATACACAATTTGATGTGAATTGAATAAACTAAACACTTATAATACTCGAAATGAGGACCATGCTTAAGGGGGGGGGGGATACCCACGCACCACACGTTATAACAACCGAAATTTGATAGTTTTAAAAATTCTGCAATAGACATTTTTTTAAAATAAACGTATGAATGAAGTTGTGAACGTCGGTTTAAGGTGTCGTATATTATGCTAGACGCGACACTATTCAAAATATCACTCAAAGAATACACGTTTTTAATTTGAGAATTTCGTATATGTATATGATATAAGTACGAATCGAACGAAATCTCAAGACATTTCCAAATTGTGCGGGGGAATTCGGTTGGCGCTCGATACATTAAATGATGTTAACATAAAACGAATTGTAACATTTTTATTTTAGATTCTAAGCGGAGCGAGGTATGCATTGGTTTTACAATGATGTTTTATTATTATTATTTTTTTTTTGTTAATGTGAACACTTTTTCTACAAGAAAACATACTTCGATTATCAAGTATAGCACCTTTTCTGAAAGAAAATGTTCTCTGGGTAGAGCGGTAATTTTTTGAAATTTTCATTAATATTCGAGATAATGAGGAAAACCTGGTTCTTTGATTAAAAAATATTGAATGATTAAAAATAAGGCTGTCATTGGCAACCGTTTTTATTTGTTGTTATTATTAAGTTTTTATTATTTTAAAATATTTTTTAACAATTATTGTTGTCATTGAAACGCACATTGTTGTAATCATTTTACCATAATATAAAATTTACCATTGTATTGTTGACAAAGCAATATTATCAACTGAACTCCGATCAAAATCGTTTTTATTCGTTAGTCATAGTTATTCGTTGTATCCTTATATATATCGTTATATCGTTATACCCGTCTGTATCCTATCTTCCCAGCTTCCCACTTACAACGGTGGCTGCACCCACGTGCGAAGTATGTCCTTCATTTTTATTTTTTAATTCTAAGTGATGCGACAACGCTTTTTACAAGAATGGTATACATTCTCAGGTATAAATGAAAGATGAAGTTTTTCGTATTTTCCGGTTTAACGGGCCGAAAATTACGGGAAAAATTAAAAAACCGGAGAGATGAAAGTTTATGCGTGGGGGCGAAAAGTGTACAATAATAATATACAGGTATACTCTTTCCGGTATATAGTTACTACGCCGGATTAGGGTTTCAATTTTCTTCGTTCTCCCCTTTAATTATTTAATGTCACGCGCGGTGTGTTGAAAGTTCGAATTAAATCCACAGACTTCAGAAAAAAACAAAGCCGGACAGTCATCGCGTTTTATCAATTTTTAACTAAAAAACAATATAATATAATAATTAGACTTGAGTGTTTTACGGTTTATTTTTTTCGCAGTGTGTTTATCCGACCCCCAAAGAGGTTTCGTTACGATACAAATAATATTACAATTAGGTTGATGAGTTTATAAGTCACGTGCTATATGTTTCATTTACCAAGAAAAATAGAGCAATAATAATTATAACTCAACTGTGTATGTATCAGTCTAAATCGGATTTTCTCAGCCTTTTTAATGTTACCGTTGCCTTTAGTATAGTGGCGTGGCGTGCACATGAAGCGTTGTTTACACTTTCAGCTGTAAAACGTTATGGGTATATTTTTAAATGATCGAATTAAAATTCTAACGATCAAGGTCAAACAATGTTGAAATTAAATTAAAATATATTGTTATATTATTATTCGTTATTATTACATTTTGTTGACGGTACTATTTTGATATTTTGTTGTTAATTGCAATTCGGTCATCTAAAAATAACGTCGTTATCGTTTGTTCCCTGCGTTTCGGCCGCCGGACGCAATGTATACGTATAATTCGTGTATCTTAATCCGTGTCGAAAATATTCAATAATACGTTCCCCGAACGTCCGCGCACGGTTCATCTGTTCTGCAATGCGTATGCTATAAGTATGAGAAATAATATTACATCGGACGTGTGTGCAAGCGGTTCCGATTCCCTTTCCCGTTCTGTACACGAGACTGTTGCAGTTTACAGTATGCCTAAACGTAATTGCATTCGAATCACTATTAAGGGGCGATGGTGCCGACGTATAATCGATTGTCGAACGTGTTACACGACCAATCATAATGGTTTTAAAATTGAACCGACATCGTTATGGTATATTTGTTTTACTCGTTGCGTTGGAACTACACTGGGACTGTTATCGGACGATAGTCTACATATTTAGTACCTAGTTATAGGCCATAAACTATATCGGTAATCGGGTTGTCATATAAGTAAACTTGTAAATTATATGAGAATTCGGGATTAAAACATATAACTTTGTTTGTTAATTAACATTATTCGACATGTAACTGTTAATAAAATGTTACTTTATTAAAAGTTTTTGAACGTTGTTATTAATAATTATAATATAACCAACAATTGTTGGCACGTCCTTAGGGGTAAAATCACAAAGTATGGAATTATTCAATTGTTATAAGGTAAAAACAGTAGTATAAATCGAGAGCAGTTTTCTAGTAGGGGTAGTAAACAAAAATGATACAGGTAGGTATAATTTTTGATGATTACTTACAACTCTGCAGACGATTCCACGTCACGCCACTGCTTTAAGAACAAACGACGTTTCAACGCCCCTTCCCCCCACGCGAAAATCTCGGAATTCCCGAAAGATAAATAGAATTAGGGCTGCTGAATTGTGAACTTTAAAAAAAAAAAATTGAAACACTTATCGCTCCCGTTTAAAAACTATTATTAGATTGAACTTTCGAAATTTCAGCATTGACAGCAAGTACATTTTTGTTAAATGATTATACGAATAATAATATTATGAATGTATTAATGTTTTAAGCAATTTAAAAAAAAAAATTAAATCATAATAAATTATATCATGACAACTTACCGTTGAAAATAATGTTATAATTTATAATATTATGTAAAATAATATTAAGTACACTCATGGTTATTGGTTAATTAACAATACACGGGTAGGCAATAAAAAAAAAAAAAAATGTTTGTACTCATAATAATTCACGGAACGATATACTCATTATCACGAAAACTATTAACTTTTTTCGAAAATTTAAGAAACGAACATCTCTAAAATGTTACTTTAGAATTATTCGTGCAGCATTATTTGTGCGGATGCATAGCGCCCGGTGTTTGAATAGTCATTATATTGATTTAAACTTAAACGTCATCTATTTATGGAATTTTCAATAAAGGTCGCCGTTTGAAAATCAAAAACTGGTAGTGACAGCCAGAAATTAAGGTGACATAAAATAACAGTATTTTAATAATTTAAAACTGCTTGTTCCTTGAATTTTCTAAAATACAAATTCCGAAAATATAGTTTTTAAATTTGAGGCTTGGGCCAAATCGAGCCAATCTCACTTTTAAACAATTTTGGGAAATTAAAAATACAACACGTTTTTGGGCCTTTTTATTAATTTAATAGTGATTTTTCTCGCAACATTGGTCTTCTCAAATCTCGCAATAACGATTATCGAGATACGCCCTTTTACCACAAGTAAAAGCATATAAAATTTAATATGATTGGCCATATAACTAGTTTTCATCGCAAAAATGATATTGGCCCTTTTTGGCCCAAGCCCCAGAAATACTTTCTCGGATAATGATAGTGTTCGCGACACTCGTTCCGCACAATTTATAGGTGCTTAAATATTAATATTTCGTCTGGGCTGCAGACGGGAAGTGTTACGTCTATATTGTACGAGTGTAAACGCTTATTACGTTTTTTTTTTTTTTTTTTTGTATAAGTACTCGCAGTTTTCCATAATATACTAACAATCTCGGTCAAATGGTTTCACAGATGTGAACTTAAAACCGCATTAACATAAAACACACACCGATACACTACGTATATTTGATTATAATGCGTAAAATCGATGAAACATATTTTTTATTTAATATTCGCACTATACACAGCCATTACGTGCTCCATTATAGTATTAGGATAAGGAAATATCAACAAAAATAATAAAAAAAAAAAACAATAAAAAAATGTATATTCGTTCGATTTGTACAATGTAATTTTAATAATTATTATCTTAATTATTCAATCTATAGATATACCTATAACGTAATACACTCACTTAAATCAATTCGAATAATAAAATATATTATCTAAATAGAAAAAAAAAAAAAACATAAAAAACTATCGTTTTAATTATTATTACATACACAACATATAACACGTACACGCTCGTTTACAATAATAATATTATATTCGTATTATAATAAAACAAAAAAAAAAAATAACAAAAAAATAATAATAATAATAATTCATAATAATATCTAAATCGGCATTATTGTATTTATTTGGTTTTTTTTTTCGTTTTTAATATCGTGCCCGAGAACCGCGTGTAAAAAAAAAAAATCAAAACGCTACGCGCGCCAATATCTTTGTTCCGGTTAGTTATTATAATATGATATACAACGTATAGTACGAAAATTTAGAAAAAATAAAACATAAGCAAAACTTTTGTTAGGAAACCTCGAACGCTACATCGTAACAGTAGTAAATATTTGCGAAAACGCGACGTGACATTTTGTCGGGGCGATCACTGCGTCGTCGTCGTCGTCAGCTGTGCGGTAAATAATAGAGAAAAAATCGATTCTAAAGTACATACTTATCATAGGTATATGACGCGGGGGGGGGATAAGGGGAAGGGGATTTAAGAGGGCCAAACTGCACTTGTTCTGTACATTTTCGCAAAAAAAAAAAGTAGGTAACTAGAACACATTTTACTGAGTGTTTATTTTCAAGGAAACTCTAGGAAATGTTGAAAGAGTTAGAGGAGATTTCGGGGACCTCCTAAGCCTCCCCGCATTCTATTGTGCAACCGATGTCCCTACATTCCGGAATATCGTCACTCCCAAAAACCCGGGACGACACGACGACGTTTACCTTTCATCGGTATTATTATATTATTATTTCTGGCGTACGCAACGAGCGGGCCGTCCAAAGGCCTACAATACGCCCTACGATACGGATAGATTGGGGTTTTTTTAAATTTATTTTCTTTATAGGTAGTAGCACGAGAAACGAGCGATTTAGTTTCTCGGGTTTGTGGATTTACACACGGACGATATTTTCATTATATTACGGATCCCGTCGTAAAACATAATATAATAACATAATATAGTACGTCCGAAAATACGAACAAAAAAACTTATTTTTAAAAAGTGACGACGTGTATATAAACAGGTGTAGTGGTAACTGTGTAAGCAATTAAATACGGGGAGGGCAGGGTTTTGTGACCTCGGATCCCTTGCGTTTCCCGCACCGGCGCAGATCGACAGACCCTTTCCCTCCACCACGAGAACGAGACGACGGGCGTATCGCGTGACGTACTTAGATAATATTTTTTATACAGTTTCGAAAAGAATAAAAAAAAAAAAAAAACAAAACAAAACGACACGGATAACGATCGTTAGATATTTTTTTCGAAACGGCTCTTATCGTGCGACAGTATTTTCAATCAATAAAACTTCAAAATACCCAAACAAATAATGATAATTTATCACGACTTAAAAACAACGCAGTGCATTCATTGTATACTTAAGACGTGTATATTAAAATAACTTATACCATACTATACTATGAAAACGTAAAATTTATATATACAATTACAATTATAATATACATAGAATAGAATTTAAAAAAAAAATACCGTGCGCCCGTCGTCAGTATATAATTTTTTTTTTTTTTTTTCCTATACGATATTTACCTGTGAGCTACACTTCAGTCTCGGCAGTGTCGCGAGTAACGAGCGTGATATTTTGGCGATTGGGTTTATTCTTCTTGTTGAAAAAATGTTCCTGTATCAGCTGATAAAACTACGGGTAATGAAATGGGTGACGTTAGACAGGGTTAAAAAGTTCTATAATAGTAGAGGTCAGGTGTTTGGCGTACATGTTACGTATTATTAGGTTAGGCGTATCGCGATAGTAATAATTGTAATATTGTAAATTATGGGCTGATGGGAAAGAAGTGGTTGGATAGGGGGACGCCGGTAGTGGCGGCGTATGGGATTGGGCGGTGGCGATGGCGGCGGCGGCGGCGGTGACTATCGTTATTACACTGGAGCTGACTAGATGCGGGACGCAAGCGCCAGCGGACTGCCCCGGGCCTCGGCCCTGGCCTCGGTGTTGATGCGCATCGACGACAGCGACGTGCCCAGACACGAGTTGCCGAAGCTGCCGTACGTCGAGCCGAACCGGTGCGCGCTGCCCGACCGGAACGAGTGGTGCCCGTTGATGGTGTACACCGGCGACTTGGGACCGCCCGGCACCGGGGTCGGGTCGGCCTTGTTGTCGCCGTGGCCCGCGAAGCCGACCGTCGATTCGGACAGACCGTTGGCCGCCGCGAACTTGTCCGACGGGTTACGTTCCATGCACACGAACGCCATTAGCGCAATGCCCTGTTGGAAGGGGGAAAAAAAACGATATCGTTAAAAATCGATAAAACGACACTGCCGTACGTACAATAAAAAAAAAAAAAAAACAAATCAACGAACGTTACGGCGACATTATATTTGGCATAATATGGGACCGTGTTAATATCTATTTATTTTATACTGGAATATTATGTTGAATCGAGTGTCGAAAAAAAAATATTATTTTCAGGTCGAGTCGTCTTCGTTTCGGAACATACAAATTTAAAACATTGTACGGGTGGGGGGGAGGCGGTAGAGGAAACGCGGCGCTCGCCTCCGTCCCTTTGGACGACTGTTTTTTTTCTAAATTATTACTATTGAATTGTACAGGTCGACCCGAAGCCGTGACTGGAAGGATGGGATCCGGTAGTGAACTTTAAAAATATAAGTGTACCTATATTTTTTTAAAAAAAATGAAGACCCCTTATCCCTGAAATTTGTTTTGAGTCTCTACGAAACCAGCTCGCCCACATCCTTAAATAAGTTTCAGTACCGATATAAGGGGATTTTTGAGTGCTTTTACTTATTATAATATGAAAATGAAAGAAAACAATACATTATTATCTGCAAGGGTACAGCATGTTGATTTTCGATTTACTCGAATACTATAGTCGATATTCAAGATTAAAAAGCGGACTTTTTTTAAATTGAAAAAAGTCGTAACTTGTTTATAAACTAATATTTAACGAAATGGATATGATATCATTCCCGTGGATAAATTGTATTCCTAAATATTTTTTGCCGTAGGCTGTTTTACATTACAAAATACGAAAAGGTTTTTTCTATGTAAACTTCAAAAACGCACAGACTCACGCATCCTCTTAAAACAATTTTAATACTCGCGAGTACATTATGATATTCCGAATTGTAGGGGTACATAACGGTCGTGTTTCTGTAGCTCTTTCGTATTTTTCTCTTGCTATTTAGGTTTCTTCTTGACCTTAATTGCCAAGTTCTTCCGATTCACTCTACGTTTTTCTCTTTTCCAGTGCCGAACCCGGGAATTCCCAATGGAAGGAATTATAGTAAATAATAATAATGATTCGCGAATTATTCGTAAATTAATTGTTCATTAATTATTCGTAACTATAATAATTATACGTAGAATCTACTTTTGGTGTACTTAACTCGACACAGGACATTTAAAAGCCGGATCCAAAAGTCTAATTTTATTCAATAAGTCGAACTCTGGTCATTGTAACTTGGCTAAAATATGTGATTCCGCGGTATATTTTCCAAATCGCTTTACGGCTTCGTGTATTCCACTGCGAAATTCAGACTTCGGAACAATTCCGCCAAAACTCCCTATTTTTTTCAGATTCTCAGTTTCCCGTATTTACACCGTGGACTCATTTCTTAAAGTACTTGTTTTTAAGATACATCGAATAGTGACTTCTCGTCGGTTTTCCACAACGCGACCCTCATTGTTCCTCCGTATTATTCCCCCTAACCTAACCGTGCTGTGCATAATATGTTTAACGAATCGACTCGCGTACGGTTATCGAATATCGAACCGCGATGCGGTTTATTATTCATGAGCGCTTAAAGTTTAGAGGTAAGTTAAGGTACGTATAATACGCTGCGGGGTTAAACGTGGAAATAATTTAATGCTCCTGCGAAATTTTACTACAATATAATACGCGTTTCTCCGCGCGCGGTTTTCTAAACTTTAAACGGTTATAAATATTAAACGATCGGTTCCCACATTATATTCCGTGAGTATATATATATATATATGTGTGTACGTACTACGCTAACATTATCACCGAAACACAATATTCTACGTTTGTCCGGCATTATACGTCTTGTACAGAATAAGTGTATCCGAAAATGAATACGTCGATTTTTACAATATAATATTAATAACAGTATACTGCAATCACGATTACAGTAGCAAAACAATCAAAAGACTCGAGACTTAATAAAATGAAAATTCAAAAACAAAAATGTATACTATATAGACTAACGCTATGATAAAATATTAAAAGGAGAATATTTCCGAAAGCTATACGTATCTTAAATATTAAGCTCCGTAAAGTGACGCCGGAGTAGGGAGGAACGTGAAAAACATAGGAGGGGCAAACATATAACTTGGCCCCACTCAAATACAGATACAACTTTATAAATAACAAAAAAAAAAAAAAAGAAAAAATGTTAATTCGATTTTCATTAAAATTATTCATTCGTCTTTTCGTGAATAACAATATTTAGTATTAAAATTGTATTATTTTATAGCGTACGAGTCTCGGTGCCCCCCTTCCGCGTGATTTCTGCCAGTGTTCATCAATAACATGTCAGTATGTATAATTCCAAATATTAAGTAAACCTAAGATAACGGTCAATATTGATTCAGTAGGCTCATAATTGGGTACTAATTTACTTTTAAGTTTATAAAATGGTTAAGCGCCGTACGCTCTCACTTCTCTTCTCTAGTGAGGATTTTTGAAAAACATTGGTGCCTGCCTGCTGTCCCTTCAACTAGTATTATCTAAACACGTCTATGGTTAAATTAATAAACGCGTGAAACACAATAATTCCAAAAGGATTAAATAAAACTTGATAATGTCCATACGTCGTATATTATGACTGAATACCTATACCTATGAAAACGAGACCACGTGAGTAATAATTTACGTCACTGTTATTTACTATGATTTTCAAATGGTTTAATCAAATTGTACGGAACAGTTGATTATGGAAACGTGATTACTGATTAGAAAAACGATAAGATGTATTATAGGTCAGATATAGAGAGTTTAAGGTGGCGCGAATTGATTGCAATTTTTTTTCTTACTCGTCTATTATCTATTTTTATTTTATACTATAATAAAAGTAATCTAAATTTCATATTATAAAACAACGATTGTGAAATCAAACACGACTACATGCGTGTTAAAATAGTGAAATTGTATTAATTATTTGAACTTGCATGCGTTTTTCATTGGGGAGTGGGCGTTAATTCTTAAAAATAATGATTTTCGAAATATTATGTAGTTATTTTGTTTCAGGTCCTTATCTGTATTTTATAAACGTCCGTTTCCTACTAAAATCATGAAAAATATATTATTCTCCGAAATAAAAACTGCACGTAGTATTTCGTATTTCGTTTGACATTCGCGACAGTCGTTATGTACGATAGTATATTATACTTGTAAAAGGTAAAAAAAAAAAAAGAAAAGCTGCGCACTTTGCCATCACGAGTATATAAAGGCATATTTTCGGAAAAAAAATATTATTATTTTATAAATGCGAAACTATATTATTACATGTGAGTGTTTTTTCTATGAAAAATTTAATACAGACTCGCGCGCACAAAAGAAAAAAAAAAAACAAACGATGTCATTGTGAAACCAATATATATATTTCTTCCGGACTCCGTTTCGAATCTGGAAAAAAATACGCGGGTATTGTTAGTACGCCTGTTCTGACGTGAGCGAATCGAGACGGGTGCCAAGCGTCCGGGACTCCGACATTGACTTTTTTAACCGTCCGTGCAATATCCGAATAGCCGAAACGAAGTTTTATAGCGCTGAATAAAACGAGTATGGACTATCACACATTACAACTGCCGTGATTATAGCCGGCATTAATACGTCATTGTTGTTTAAAGAGATGGCCGTCATTTTAGTCGTATTTTATAAATTTAATTTCAAACAATTGATAAATGTTTTGGGTTTCCGCTATCGTGCATTGACCGTTGTATACCAAAACTATTTAGTTCAGTTATCGAAAGTATTGTCGCTGTAGTGCGTCGGTCGCACACGCATTTAGTTTAGAAAAACGGAATTACGACGTTTTTACTGAGTTGCAAATAATTAGGGCAGAATAAGTATCTAATACGAATTGCAATTGGACCAGTATTATTCGATGGTAATAAGAAATTAAGAATACTTTAAAAGTAACTTTAACGGTTAATTAAAAAAAATTATTGATAAATTAATAAAAAAATAAAATAGTAAATAGTTACGCTGAACTAAATGATAAATTTGGATTTATATAAAACGTTCAAAACGAATCATTAGATGATATTGAAAAAAAAAGTCTAGTTGATTTTTATAACATAGATTTGGAATTTGACTTGGAAGAAGAATTATTACTAACATTTAAAAATATTATGGCAAATATTTAATTCATAAAATTGTATGATTGTAAAAAGAATGTAATGGTATTTTAAACCTGTAGTAGTTGTAGTATTTATTTGCATAACTACAAAAGATATTGTGTTTGTATTTTTTATTAAACTTTTCCAATGTGCATAAAATATTATACGAAATATGTGCACATTTAATGGCTTCTCAATGCAAAGTACTAAATTGAGTATATTGCTCTGGGGTAGCTCTGATCTTTATTCCCTGATCACGGTAATATTATAAACTAAATACCTAAATTTAAAACGGATAAATCAACCAGTTTCAATCTATGCATACACACTGTATAGGTGAGTTAACGTTAACAAACGTCAATACACGGTAAATTACTATAATATATAAGAACTCCGGGTCCAAAAAAATGGTTTATCCTCCCCCCCCCCTCTACGACTCATGAGTGTATAGCTCAGTTTTTTCCAACATTTTATTACAGTATAACTATTTAAATAAGTTAATATTACCCGACCGTTGGAATCCGTTTCTCAGTGCATCATTGTGATGTACTCACCATTCTTCTACAGTTGTATACTCAATACACGGTCAGTAAATTCTTCTTAGAATCCTTCGCTCAAACACTGTAAGTTGCATATCTCTTCGATTTTTATCAAAGCCCATATGTCAGACCTACATTTACATTTACTAGCCTTATCGGAATCAAGTATAACATAACCTTATAATGGTAAATGTGTATGAAATTAAATCTTTAATAATCAAATTAAAACAGTAGAAACCGATAAGTTTTTAAAACTCTAATTATTTTATCAAAAATAAACTATTTAATACCTATTATATAATATATGATCAGACTCCGTTTTAATTTATTTTTACTGTGTAATATGATGATATTTGAAAGAGGGTGCGGTTTATTTCTAAATATTATTAGTCTTACATTTTTACTAACAAATGCGTCGTGTGAGAGAAAACCATTATGGTAATCTTGGCGGGTTTGCTGAAAGTTTAGTTAGGTTTAGTCAATTCACGGGCAGCGCTCTTCGATTTTCGGTAAATCCTCTCCGTAGTTTTTCGCACTTTCACCACGGGATATACGATAAACGAAATTCCAGACATAATTTGTTTAAATAGAACATTGTATATTATTATTGTAAATGCCTAAAAACTGAAAATATCCAAGCGTTTGAAATCGCACGAATCGTTTTGAACAACCGCCGGTATTATTTAAATAAAACAGTATCGCAACCGTTCGAATAAATTATGAAAATATAATGCGAGACATTTCCTCTTTAATATATTATATAGGTACCTATAGGTAACTATTATACACATATATATATGTAAAAGGCGAAATTCACCGACGCGGAGTATCTGAGGTATCGTGGGAGAACGGTTCCATTCAAACGCCAGCGGCAGACGGTGTTTCGGCCATCGACCGACCGCCATGAGGTTCGAAACGATGACGGTATTCGCGAAAAGGTTCCGCTAATGGAACGCATCTTTTGAACCGACAGACAGACATCACGCGATTGAATGGAATAGCTGTACGACGATAATATATCATTCCGGAATATTATTCCTTCCGGAAACAAGTATTATTAGGTACCTAGAAATTATTATTTGCGGGGTGTTCGATTCGGCCTATCTACAAAAACGTTCGAATTGTTCACACACCTCAAACGCTGTAATAATGTTCGATAGAAAAACGTGCACGTTTCTCATTTGAAAAACAAATACGTCGGTTTAAATAATATATTTTCAATCCGCTTCGGTAAAAATGTAACGTTATTTTTTTATTATTAGCGTTATTATTTTAAGTCTAAACTATAGTTGTCCCGCTCGGCGTTGCCCGTGTCAAAAGAAAGAAAAGAAAAACTGTCGTTATGTTATTGGGGGTCCTTACACGAACTACGTTAATATTTATTTTTCTTTGTTTTGTCTGGTTTCACTATATTTTTATTTCACGTGTATCACCAAAGTAACCCTTGTTGATTTATCAACAAAAATAATACGATTTTCCAAAATACCAATAACCAAATAGCTCCTTTAGTGGTTGAATACGAGAGGGAGGGGGTCTAGAACAGGGGTCGGAAACTGCGGCTTCCTAATATGTAATCTATGGCTCTTTAAAAAATGCATCAATATCTAAACATTCTAGATTTAGAGCTAGACCCATAAAATATATAGTAAAATTTGACTATATGCCTACCAATTCCCAATGAAATTGCTTAACGAAATATATTAGTCGTCTTTTGTACTGTGGTATTTATTTCTTATCTTAACCATTGCGGCTCTTTGGAAATCGTGGTTTTGAAAATTTTTTTTTTAAAATGTCTCATTTACACGAAAAGGTTCCCGACCTCTGATCTAAAACTACATCCATACAAAGTTTCAGTTCAATCTGTTCATTAGTTTTGTCACGAAAGGATAACGAACAAACATTCGCATTTATAACATTAATAGGATTATATCAACAATAATGAACAAAAGTCGAGTGTCGATTAAACGACTAAACATTCCCGAGGGTTATTATAACGAATAAAATATCTGAAACACTCTGTATACAATACTATTTTTAAATTTTAATTTAATAGTACCCATACGGCATATGGGTACACGTTTTATTAATACAATAACTATTTATTATCTACTAGTATTATCAGACGTCAGTTATCTACACCGTAAAAATTACAAAACATTATAGATAGGTAGCTATCTATAATTTATATTGAAATATATTACCGAAATAGAGTTTTTAGAAGGTCAGGGTTACGTATAGCCGCATGCAGTTCAAACTATTACCGCTAATACAAAACGGTTTTCGTTATTCGCTGTAACTATTACAGTAGATCATTTCATCGTTATAATTAATATGATATTGATTAATCTATTAATTTTATTAGAAAAAAAAATATATATATAAAAATAAAAAATATTATAATTTTATGAATAGGTAAATCAAACATGGATCAATATTTAAGAAAGAAATGTATAATAATAATATGCAATGGTAAAATATGCAAAATTAGGACCTCTTCGAAGTCCCTTCCCAGTGAAATTTCCTTTTAGAAAAATGTCTATAATTAAAAGTTGGAGCAAAATTGCTGGTAGAAAAGTACAGAAAAAAAAATCGTAATATTTCAGTAATATATTTCGTACATTTTCTTGTTTTTTTTTTTCGGTTTTTCGCATTTGATGATAAAACTCTTAAGAAAATCTTAAGAAAAAATGACGTCTCTAAGGTACCTCCCAACACCGATTTCCTTTCAGAAAAGTTGCTACACGTAAAAATCGGAGCAAGTCCTCTGGTAAAAAAGTTGTTCACAGAAAAAAAAAAATAAATAAACATCTTTATAAAACCATAAGCCTCTTCGTTCCACTCAGAATCTAAAATTAAAATTATAATATTATAATACTTTAATATTTATATTTTTTCTTCTTTTCCTTCGCCTTCATCCAAATTAAGCGAGGTCTACACACTCGTTGTTCCACTTGACCCGATCCGCTACATTGTTCTCGCACACACCCGCCATCCTCGGTATCATTCCTCAATCACATCCACCTCCTATTTTTTGATTTTCATCTCCCCGTCTTTCCTCCGACGTTTATTTTCAATACGGCTCTCACTGTTTCTGATTTTTTCTCTCCTCATGACATGCCCAAACCATATCAGTCAATTTTCTCTCATTTAACTCCTATAACGAAGCCACGCCTTATCTCTATCACACACATTCTTTATTATATTGGTCTGTCGACCACTCAATAATCCGGGCCATACAACATAATCGGTCATAACATACTCTTATGTAGAATTTACCTTTTAAATCTCATAGAAATCCTCTTGTCACATATTGTATAATATTATTATTATACATACACATTATTATCATTATTATACTATGTATATTTTTTTTACGATTATTTCTCGACATATTATCGCCGTGACTCCACGGGTTGCAAATTGATTATTAAATATGTTTACCGATAATAATGATAAACCTACTTTTGTATTTTAAATTTTACTCACCAATACAATGTGTATAAAGATTTCGAAGTATGTGCCTCTCTCGAATCCGACCAGATCGTAAAGAATTCCCGCTATCGTCGGGCCCAAAAATGCGCCCAGCGCGAACGACGAAGACCATATGCCCGACAATAAACCGTAGGTGTGTATGTCATTTGGAAAACCGGCGTCACTAAAAAAGAAAAAAAAATCACAATCAAAAACAATTTTCTATAATATTTATATTACAACAAAACGTAGAATTATAAATATTCTAAAAAAAACTTACAAGGCAGCCGTCATTGAGTCTACGAACGTAGGTACGCATATCATACCCAACGCCAGTCCCTGTATTACTAAACCGATAATAACCAACAGTATATTTCTGAAAAAAAATAAAAAAGTACATATAGAAATTAATTGTGTTAAAAAAAAAGGTAATTTTAAACAAAATTTTAATTTTATGCGTTAAGTATTGTAAAATAATATCCTCGTTTTATTTACAATTTTTATCCATGTGTGAACCGAATTTCCAAAAATGAACGAATAGATCCGAAATACTACCATGTAAGATATAACCGTCCCTGAATTTGATGAGGGAGCAAATATTCTGGTCAAAAATTAATAAACAGAAAAATTGTACACGTCATTACATAATTTAGTAAAACTACAATACATTCCTCACTTCGCTCAAAATCTGAAATTTAATTTAATTTCTGTATTCTAAGGACAAAAATAAAATGTGACCCTCTTTACTCAAAAAAAATGGCTCAGACCAATGAATTTTGCGTGATCAAAAACACTTAAATGCGCGTTGACTTTCGAAAAAATGTTCATTGAAACTGGATTTTTTAAAGAAACGTATTAAGTTAATAACGAAGCAACAAGTTCGAAAAAAGCGGATAATCTAGAATTTTAAATAGGTTTATTAGATTGAAGGATTCATATTGATGCGCCTACTAGCCGAAATTTGCCATCATAAACCGCCCTGAAACTAATAATTGTCCCGAGGTTTCTGGTCCAGAAAATTCGTTTCGTGACACATAAGAAAAGAAGAGCACACGATTATCAACGCCAATAAACGCTCAGAATCTAAAAAAAAAAAAAATTGAAAACGGTTTTGGTTCGATTTCGGCACCAACATTATTATACGAGTGTAAACGGCGACATTAATAATAACAAAAAAATACGATTGTTAAATACGGAACACGAGAAAAGCTCTCGACGAAATTGTATAGGTTAAACATAATATTGATCCGTAAGTACAATACGAAATGAAACCCTTAGTTTTTAATTTCCAAAGCGTTCGGGTATATCGTCAAGGAGAAATTATTGATGTGTTCCGCGGGAGTTATATGTATAGCGCTTATAAAATATTTACACAAAATATTCGGTCCCGGTGGCGTTAAATGCATATTTTATAACGCTTTTCTTATAATCTTTGTTTTTCCTTTTTTATTTTTAAGTAACGCTCAAGACATCCGAATCCAATCGATTCTGCGACTAATATTTTAATTAATTAAGAATTCGAAAAACAAACACGCGACTCGGTTTAATATATAATACTACAATATAATTGAAAATCTGTGTAGTAATACGACCGGGTACACTGTCGACTGTTCAGTTAAAGTTGATCATAAAAATATTACCTACACGATTTTACACAAAACGTCATGTTATTTTCGACCAGTTTCTCGGCGGTTTTTTTCCGCATCCGTAACTCATAGATTTTTAAAAAATATAGGAATGGCTTCGTAATATAAAACTATATAGTTTAGTTTTTTTGTTCAACTGCATGCCCATTTTCCGAAAAAGGGAAACACTATTTTAGACTGATGATGGTACGTGTTCGTTCTGTTACAGAACGATAAATTAATGAACCATAAATGTGAATTTACATTTTACAGTCACTGAACTCGATGATTTTCAAGAATATTGTATGCTGTCTAAATAACAAATTCCATATACCTACCGAACAGATTCAATAAGATTGGTATTTTTCATTGATTTTTTCTTTTTTGTTTTCGTGAATAGAAGTGTTTCATAAAATTTAATTAAAATATTATCCTTCTCTGGCGCAGCTTATGAAAAGTTTGTTTTTAAGATGCTTCCCCTCCCCCCGTTCATAATTCATAAAACATCTCGAAATTGGATAAGGAGAAAACGGTATAAACATTTTTTTTTCCTTTGAATTTTTAGTTGCAGCTGTATATTATACTAGTATATACTTTCAAAGGGAATTATATACAAATAAATTATTTCTGGATATTATACACTTAAGTTTCGACTGTGAAAACGTCTACGGAGTTTAATTTCTGTATACATAATAAATGCAAGTGACTGGCTGTAAACGGACTGTAAAAGCGATGAAAAAAAAACCCCGTGAGCAGCAGAGATCCGTGACTAGAGTCGAATTTCCCTCCGACCGAAGTGTCACTGTTACAATATTTCATTTATTTTTATATTTAATCTTTTTATTTTTATGGTTGCTATGCGTTTTATTGCATTTTAGTCTGTAGGGGTTTATTTAAAACACGACGGTTCCCGTGAAAATATAATATTTTAGCATACAAATTGCTGACGAGGGGGTGGAAAGTTGAAACCCCCAAAAGGCACGTCCTATTGATATTTACATCATTTATATACACAATTGTACGCACCTGACTTTGTGTTTGGAGGGGGGGGATCAGTAGAAATATACAAAGCTGAAAAAAAAAAACATTCTCCTCCCGCGACCATATGTTGAAATTCATATTGAAATTTAACCAAAATTTGATCACTTCAATCCACATGTACAGAAATCCTCGAATTTTTTAAGTTGATCTTTTTTTTTTTGGACCAGAGAAAGACGCTAAAAGTGTCCAAACGTCCAGGAAAAAGATATATATTAAATTCTCTATTCTCGGGGAAATGTCGACATAAAGCGAAAAAAACTATTTCATTACTGCGAAACACTGGCGTTAAGAAGATCATATAAAAATATTCGAACATTTAAAAAAAATACACGTAGCTACCTAACGTAAGAAATCGCATTATTGTTGTATCTGTTATGGAACGATCGATAAATTAATAAAACATTAATTTATCTCGCGATAAGGAGATTTCGAATCTCTATACCGTCGAGACGACTACAACCTATTAAATCTATTCTTCGAGACCGTATCTAACTAGGTAACTAATTCGTAACTGGCATTTCTTTCTCATGAGGTCACTACGTGGTGGATATTTTTATATACTTATATATTTTATTTTCTGACCTCCATGTATTTAATGTTTATGCAATTCTAATCTCGCGATATTTCATACGGATATAATATACAAACGATTATTTTTAACCGTGCCTACACAATAATAATTATTATAATTACTATTATTTCGTTTATGGCACCTTTACGGTGCAAAGTTTTTTTTATCAATATACGAAGACTTGATCTCATATTCACCATTATAATATACCAGCGTACTATAGCAATAGGTACTAGCACCAACAATTGAAACAAATTAATATACTATGTATTTTTTAACGAGACAGCCGGAATAAAATTATATTAAAATTTGTCTCGATTTTTCATATTGTTCTTGTTCGCTGGCTCGAGTTTCAATATATTTTACTAAGTATTATAGAATAATACACTATATCATGCTGTCAAATTCTGATTTCCTATGTAAAATAGGGATTTTTTTTTTGTTACTTACAGAGTTTACGATTAATAAAATCAAATCGACCGTTTGAATGACATATTTTTTATAATTCAGATATGCATTATATATAAATACAATTAAAATAATGAAAAATAACAGAATACTAAGGCACAATAAACAAATACTCTAAAAAAGTGACAAAAAAATTACTCAAAATGCCCAAAACTGATCCAAAAATCGAAAACATCGGAAAATGCAAAATAAAAGTTTCACCTTTGCTGTCGTTAATTGTTTAAGCCCGATGACGCACCACAATCGTAGAGAAACGATTGATATTTGACAATCTGTTTTGATACATAAAACCTATTAAATCAAATTACATTCAAATAAAATGTATTGACATAATTTAAAAAATGACCAGTAAATATTAAAAAAAAAAAAAAATGTTTCTAAAAATGGAAAAACCGCGAATAATGAAAACAAAAACTTCACTTCTGAAGTATCTGTTTCATAAATCGATTCTATATACTCGGAAAGCATTGTTTTAAACCATGCCCAAAAAAAATGTACTTTGCTTTGAAACCCGAGCCCTTTAGCAATCAGTAGAGCAGAGGAATTCGCATATTTATTTTAAACAGTCCTACAATTTGCCAATAAAAAAAATGCCAATCGAAAGAAATTTGTCTAATATTACAAACAAACCTAAATCTATTATTTTATGTCGCACATTTTTGTATATTTAGATACTTTTGTGTTTTTTTTTTGGTATATGTAGGGATTTTAGTGGCTTTTTCTGACAATTTCTGAATGAAAAATTTTTACTCGCGTATGTTCGTATTTTATTATCATTACGGTGAATATACGTATACACGCGAAATAGAGAGCTCTGGAGCAGTGGTTCTCAAGCTTTTTTGTATGAAGACACACTAATTTAGATCCATAAAAATGACGACACACTTAAAATAATTAATACATTTGAAATAACACACACAACGCTCACAACATGATGATTGCGACTGAGGACATGCTTATTTACGTACAAATAAACAATTTTTTTGGCGGCGACACACATGACACATAACAGTAATACGCGACACACCGGTTGAGAACCACTGCTCTGGAATATAATATATTCGTAACTTTTTAATAATTTTTAATTAATCAAAGAAAGAAAAAAAAACATACGCGGAATGCGGCGGTAATTATTATTATTTATACGAGGCGCGCATTGTCGCGGCGGCGCGGTGAAATAACGCGGAATCCTAGTTCAAAATTATTATACGAGTAATTATATACTCGAGTGACGCGTTTCTATTCAAGTGTTTATAAACAGAGCGGCCGCGGAACGGCGCGGAGGGTTTCAAAAGCAAATTATAATTATGATAAAATAATCTTTTGAGTCAAACGAAAATATAGTATACGGTAAATAGACCTCGGCAAGTGTACCCGACGTTGAAATTATTGAGTGCGCGGGAGTTTGTACGCGAAAAACCAGAACGTAAAGTAAAAAAGTCGACCGTAGTAATTAATATCGCGCGGCAATAGCGTACGCAGAATTTTTCAACTGGGAGGGGGGCTTGAAAATGAATAGTTAATCAGTTGTTTTGTCACAAGTTCGAAAAATAAAGTAGGTGCCATTCTCAGTTCTGACTGATAATAAACATAAAATATAGGTACGTAAAAGAATTAAAAAAAAAAAAAGGACATACTGCGCACGTGGCCACGTGGTTTAAAAAATCATCGGGTGAAAAACCAACAGCTTTAAAAGTATAGCGTTTCAAAAGATGTGAAAACTTGTATATACATACTGTAAAATGTAACACCGCCCCTATTTTCGACCACCGTTATGTTTGGTGATGAAATCACAATTCCATAAATAGATGAGGTTTTGGTTTAAATAAATATGACGTGTCCGTCACCCCATATCTTAAAAATTTACACTACCGAGTAGACAAAATTAACAGTTTTTTCGTTTGTTATTTATTATCGCAGATGGAGGATCCAACTACTTTTTCGGGCGCCAATCTTGAAATCTTCGCGCGCAGTAACACCGTAATAATAATATTACGACGATAGTATCTTATATTATACATAAATATATAGTATTTTCCCGCCAAATATTACAGTTGTTTAGGGGTTTGCGGGGGGGGGGGGGTGGGGGGGAGTCGCTCGTTATTAAAAACGTTTTGTTGCCCGTACTTGGATAGCGGCACGAAAGGCGCCGGACCGACGATCGCGTAACTGATGACGGTCAGGATTGTCCCCAGAATCATAATTTTTTTAGGATTAAATCCGATGTCGCACACGTATCCGACGATGGGCGCGATAAGGGCGTACGTTCCGCCACTAATGATGAACACGAAACCGACCTGTATGGGCGTGACCAACTGCGAACAGAAAAAAAAAAAAAAAAAACTGACAATAAATAATTGTTACGGTTTGACAATAAATACGTTTGGGTATAGTATTATAATGTATGGGCGCGCGAACGCATGCGTTAATATGGGACGCGTATAAAGTACGAAAATGTTTTGTTAGAATGTTATTTTATCAGAAAAATAAAAACAAACAATCCGAAAAATATTTACGTCGGACCGTATTCGAGAAGAAAAATATTTTATCCGGACGGTATTTGGGGGAGAGGGGGGGGGAAATATCTCCGGAGAAAATGTACCGTCAGAATTAATATTCGGTACGCAAAAATATTTCGACGGAAAAACGATTTCGCCAATCCGCGGAAAATACCTGTAAAGGCGATAACGCCGTTATCCCGTATCGTCCGCCGGCCGCCGAACAACGGTCTCTCTGCCACGGCGTACGGTTGCATAACACACACTCCGATACGCCGGGTCCGCAGAGCCATCGTTACTCAATGCTCAATGCTCAATTAATTGTACGGATTAGTCACCGTCCGTCGTCCATGCTGCGCAAAGCACACGGAGCTGTTCGGCCGCTACGCCAGCGGCACGCATGTGCATTACGCAATAAATTCGCGTATTATTTAATAGCTATTAAGCTGTAAAGGGCGCGCACTAGTGTGCCGCGGTAAGAGACACAAGTGTGAGCCGCACGGTAAACGAGGCATTTCGGTAATCATTTATTTTTACGACGTCTACGTACGGCTATGACTGTGGCTCGCGTTTTCGGCGGCGCGCTCTTATTCGTATTTAATAGATAACACATTTTCCGACTAAACGCCGGTTCTAATGAATTACTACTGTTCGACAAATTTATTTTCGTACGCAACATTTTTGGACAAAAAAAACTTCTCCGGCAAAATATTTTTCTACTCGAATGATTTTCGTAAATTTTATTTTCCGACGAAATATAGGTCACCCGTTCGTACACACGTACATTATAATACCGGTCTTATCGAATTATTATTAATGGATATTATAACGTAATAATATTTAATTTTAATACACGAATATGGTTTCATAGGTGTGCCCGATTATGAGTACAAATATTATTATTTGCAGAATTTTTTTTTTTAATTTTATTTTGGCCGTGTACGGAGCGATCCGTTTGGGTGTCTACCTACCACTACGTAATCCCGAAAAATATTGACCGTTTTAAATACATTTTTTTTTCCGACAAATTAATAACCAAGCGGCTAAAAAAACTGTCACATTATACCCGTTTTTTTTTTTTTTTTTGTTTTTTTGTCATCTTTATTTTCAGGACTGAAACAACTGTCTACTTGACTGATTTTTCAAACGGCGACCAACGTTAAAATGTCCATAAATAGATGGAATATTTGTTTCAATACATTTCGGCGTTGACATTTCCAATTTCCACTGACCCGCTGACGAGGAATTCCGGTTTTAAATTTGGATAGAGCGAAGGTAGTGGAGCACTATTCAAACGCCCTGTCGTCACACAAACGATCAAAAGTAGACAGTTGTTTCGCTCTCGAAAATAGGGTCGAAATAAAAAATAACGGCAAGGTAACGCTTGACAACTTAAATTGTCAAGAAAAAAAGTTTGTAAAAAATCAATACTTCTCGAAGCATCGAGATCAGACACTTAAATGGATTGCCCTGTATTATTAATACGAGCACATGCCGTTGGTTTTAAGATCAATGAAAATTATATCAATTTTTTTATCAAGGTCAGTATGTATAATATATGTTCGATACGGGTATCGAAATAAAACTCACGCGCTATATAATCTACGACCCAGAGATAATTTTTTTTTTAAAAATACACGGGTTCACATGAAAAATCTAACTGAAAAAAAAAAGTATTATAAATATAAAGCGTCGAATCGTAATAAAAGAAAAAAAAAGGACGGGCAAATTTACATAATAACGGTTTTCATTATTTTCGATTTTGTTTTCTATTGTAATTTGGATAAAAATAATCGTAGAAACCTGAAATGTTCTCATAAAATTCAGGTATGTTAAGCTATAATATATAACTTTCTAGACGTAGTAAAATGTTAAATCGTTCTACAATTTTTGAGCTAATTGAAATTGTCGAGTTATTTTTTTAGTTTCTATTTGGTTTTATGTAGATAAAATTGGGCGAGTAGCAATGCTTGATAAGCACGAGGTTTATTAAAAATTGAACTTAGTGGTAAAGAAAAATTGAGCGTAATAAAGTAGTTTTTTTTTATGCGTTTAAGTTCAATTTTTGACGAAAATCATCAATCTAATTTCCCTCAGAATCGTTTTTTCGTTTGCAATCATTTATCATTACATTTACTATAGTCCATAAAATAAACTAAATCACCCTGTTTATCTTACCTTTCTAACTATCTACCTACTTCAGTGACCCGTGAGCATTTTGTTATATGTTATCATGTTATAATAATTTTTTGAGTCATACACATTTTCGATTATCTTTGTTCATTATTTAATAAATAGTTTGATTTAATTTTAAACAAATCAATAAAAATTTTAAATCGATTAGGTAATAAACAGACATATTTCCATACAGCATATTATACTCAGTTTCCTTTACCGAGTAGAATTTATTCAGAAATCTACTCAGTACATTCCATTCATCCATTTTCTTGGTAATACTCATTATACAAGTTATGTACTAGTCCGTATAAACTAAACACTTAGTAAACGTACATGTCTAAAGTACCTAAAGCACGTATAGACAAGTAGTTTCTGCTGCATACTCACACTGGCGTTGTTGGTTAATTTTGTTTAAATTTACATTATTATAATAATGTCGGTAGATGTTTACATTACAATATCTCAACAAGGAATTCTTATCATTTTCTTCAATGATAATTTAGGTTAAGACATAGATTTAATCAGTTACTGTTTTTATATATGTACAGAAAATGTGCAGTGACGTACTTAGGATTTTTCAATGGGAGGTGCTAAATATATCTTTCCTGGGGTTATTTTGAAAAATGCATAATTGTATAGTAAAAAAAAACGGACATACTTCGCACGTGATCACTGTTGTAGGGGGAAGTAGAAAAGTAGAATTTAAATGGAAATTTAATGTATATCTGTTAGTAACGATAAACCATTGTTATCGAAAAACGATTCTGAGCGGAGTTCAGTTGATACTGTTACTTTGTAACAATACCATATGTCATATTATATTATAATGATTACAACAATGTGTGTTTCCACTACAACAATAATTGTTGAAAAAAAATTAAAACAATAAAACTTAATATAATAACAAAAAATAAATAAAAAACTGTTGCCAATGACAATCTTATTTTTAACTTTTCAATATTTTTTTATCTAAAGAACCAGGCTTTTCACATTATCTCGAATATTAATGAGACTTTCAAAAAATGACCTCTTTAAAGTACCACCCAAAGAACATTTTCTTTCAGAAAAGGTGCTATACTCGACAATCGGAGTAAGATTTCTGGTGGTAAAAGTGTTTACATAAAAATAATGGGTCATCATTATTAATTGTTGGCAAAAAGTTAAGACAGTGTATATTGAGTTCAATTTAATGGGTTTTTTTTGTGTTGATAAATTGAAAACGATATTAATTTATATTTTACTACGAAATGCATAACCTAATGCAACATTGTTTACGAACATGGCAGTAGGTCGTATTATTTATATCGTGAAATGTTATCATTAATATGAATTTACCGACGCATATTATAAAAATAAATTACGGTAGACTTTAAACATTTTTTTTTTTTTTTTTTAATACTACCAAATACAATTATAACGAGTATACCCATGGTTCAAATAGTTATTGGCGAGTTTTTTTTACACGCCCAAAACATATTCGTTCACGTACAACCAACCCGAACAACTTCAGAATATTTTGATAAATCTTATTGCGTCTTGGAAATGATTGTATAACATTATGAGTTTTCGATGAACATTTAAAGTCTTTATATTTATTTTTTACCGAATTGCAAAAATAAACCGAAACTATTTTTGAGTAGATATTCCGGTTTTTCTGACATCTTCCTCTCTAAGTTGTCCACTCCAACAACCACAAGAAAAAACCCGCCAGAAACCTTACAACCCTCTGAAGTTAAAGATTAAAACGAGATTTCTGGTCAAAAAGTTGTTAACAAACAGAAAAAAAACACATCATAATATATAGCAAGTAAAACTTATACGTTTTTCTCGCTTCGCAATAAGAATCTAAAAATACGTTTAAAAAAAAATCAATTCGTCCCCCTGTTATTATTTGCACGACGCTTATTTTTATAATAAAATTGTGTACGAAAAACAAAAAAAAAAGTATCCGTTTTTTTACGCACCTAAAATATGTAATATGTGTAATATTGTTATCAATATTATTCATTGTGTAGTACACGTACCCACTACACGCGTAGTTTAATTGCGCGAACGCGATATTATATTTTACTAAAAAAAAAACCTCGTTATTAATATTTCAAAAAATCGTTATCAAAACTATGTACAATAACAATACGTACATTAACGATGTATATATCATCTATGCGGTGTTCGAGTCGAGTTAATATCAATAAAATAAAAAACTAGGTTATATCATAAAAAAGAAAAAAAAAAACAAACTCACTTCGTGGATATGCGGCTCTAAAACAGCCGAATAGTATCCCATAGCCGAAGCCGCTATCACTGTCGCGATGGAATTCACGAATACCGTCGGAACGCTCAACAGGTGCGATACTTTGGCTGCGAGAATAAAAAAATGTTTAAAAAAAATTATTTTACAGAAACCGCCGTTTTTCAACCGCGAACTAGCAGCGTTGGGGCAGTGGCGTTCTCAGGCAAAGTGAAGTTGAGAGTTATATTGCCCCCCCCCTATTAGCTTAAAAATACAACAACTATACTATGAAATTGTATTAATTATAATTTACAATTTTGAAATATATATTATTTCAGCCGAATTATCAGGAGCAACTTGAATAAAAGTTTACCTTTTTCGGATCCGGTACGTACATTTTATAAGAATTTTGAGAAATTTCATGTCTAAAGTAGGGTGAATATTTTGGGTCGCATGTACACAAAAGTTTGTAACCTCTGTTTCACATCGTTGTTATACATTTCATCTCACTAAAAGTTCTTGGAAATGCCACGGGTGTAATGGGGTTTAAATGGTATACTTACTTTTAGCCTTGGTCGGACTGGGCACGTCTTGTTTCATTAAAATGCACACCAAAACCGACGTTCCCAGCGTAATGAAACCCATGACCGTGAATGGCAGTGTGAATCCGCCGACCTGTTAACACAAACGGACACATAGATAAGCCCAGTACGATGTGTATAATATTAAAATATAATTTCAAATATGTGTAAATGAATATAATATTAAAATATAATTTCAAATATGTGTAGATGTGTATAATATTAAAATATAATTTCAAAAATTACTTACCCCGAAGAGCAGAGCGCCCAGAGTCGGTCCCACTATGTATCCCATTCCGTAACATACTTCAAGAGCAGACTTTAAAAAAAATTAGCGCAAAAACTTCGTTAGAGTATTATTACTACAACCATTATATATATATATATATGTATAACTTAAAAATTTGTATTTTGTTGTACAGTTAAATCATTTATTATGTTTGTTTCCCTCCCCCCCTCCTTTTGACAAATCTCGGTTGCGCCACTGTTCGTTGTAATTTGCGATGAAGTACGTTAGAAAGGCCACAAGTTTTAACGTTATTTACTCTAAAATTTAATTAACCCGAGAACGCTGTAATAGACATTTCTTTATTTTTTTTTTTTCATTTTCTTCAAACATGATATATCGTAATTTCATTCAGTTTAAAATATAAAAAAATAGTATTGCATCGGCTTCAACGTGAAATGTATTATTCAATACGCTATTCGCGTTTATGTAGGGTTACTTTAACGTTTTTGATATTAACTGTTTTCTACGGAATGATTATACGATTTCTAAACTAAACTATAAAACCATCCGCAGCGTTATTTATATTATCGATTTTTCCCGCTAATTCGAGCACCGAGTTAAACATCCGCGTGTATAAAAGAACCATGCACGAGCGGTATTTCGAATGAATTCCCGATTTTCCAAAATTCAATTATACAACCGTTATTACTAATTGAATCGTTATGGTCCATCTGGCCGAAAAATATTATATATCTATTGCGAAAATGGCGTTTGAAAGAAGAAAATATGTTTCTGTGGCGTCGTAAATCGTTTTCACCCGCCCCCCTCCCGAGTCCGGCGAAGTACCTAGGTACACGGCGGGTGACCAAATCCGGCAACATTCCGTTTTATACGTTATATTCGAAAAATGTTCGGATAAAAACATAAAATGATCACGGTCGAGTGAATATAACGTACGAAAGTGCTGGCCACCGATTCGGGAAACGAGACGGCCGTCAGTGAAAAGGCTGCAACCATTGCTCCGGTAGCGCCCAAGGATTCCAATATCCTCAAGAATAACGATAACGATAAAAATACCCACTTGTCATCGACGTACGTCAAATATCTGTACAGAATAAAAAAAAAAAAGTTTTTTTTATACATATTTATGTTTCATACACACATCATACCCAAATGCTATTGTAGATAAAGCGTTCATTACGATGCCCAGCACCAGCAAATATTTTAATCCGACTTTTTGAATCTGAAATAATAATAATATACCATCTGTTATTAGTACACACATAATAATAATATTATAAATAAGCCGGCCTTCAACAAGCCCGTAGCCAGGATTTTCTCATTGAAGAGGAGAGAGAGAGTTATCAATTTTTTTCAATTTTGAAAAACAATATTTTATTCTTCCCTTTTTTTTTGTCCTACAGAATGTTCAAAAACTCTGACCATTGGTATCATGCTGTATTAATATTATAATGCTATTGAACAGTCCATATATATAATATACCCTCGGGCAGTTCTTCCCTAGTGAAAACAGTAAAACAAAAATCTATCTCTGAGAAAAAGAACCGGGGTGCACGGTTATGTTCCGACATGAGTTCGCTAAAACCGAAGCATTATTGGAATATTTGACGTTATGATCTATGATTTTGTTTTTCTTATCAGGCGTACGGAGGAAGAACTGAACCCATCACAGTATATTATTATAACTCATTTCATAGTTATATTTTATTATTTTTCGTCAGAACAAGTTGTTACAGGTACAAAATATAACATTATATAGGTATCATCTTTCAGTTTTTAAACTCACACACACATTTCATTATCATTAATAGTTTTTCCGATCTGTAGTTACAAAACGAATGCATCTTGATTTTAAAAATATATCAGACAAAATTATTTTTAGAACTAAGTTCAACTTATGATGAAATTTGTATCACATTTTCGAATATTTTTTCTGAACCGAATAAATTATAATAGCATAGATTGGGAAATAGTACGCGAATTTCTGTGGTTTAATACGGATTTTATTAAAGTTAAAACTTTAAACGCTTTTACAAAAAATATCGCGACTATAGATTGTCGATGTTTTTATATAGTGCCAAAAGAACTGCTTATGATAAACCATGAACCAAATTTTCAAACTTTTTTGAGAAGCCAAAAAAATGCTATTCACATAAAGCCAAATAAAAACGGAACAAACTAGAAAATTGAAATGTCCGCTAGTATTTTAAAAATCGCCATAAATTAAACATTTGACTACGTATAAAAAGGGCTTAATATAAAGTATTTAGTGAAAATATTTAGATCTCTATGATTTTTCAAACCATATCCAAAACAACTGACACGCTGTTATTACATACATTTTCTCGTTTTCTGATATTTTTCTTAGTAGTTAGAGAAAACAATAAGGAATATAAATAAAAGAGCTCCTCGATACAACAACTAGATCAAATTTGATATCAGAAATCGCCCATGAAGTTGATGATCAGAGTAATATTTCTACTATAAAAATTGTTTAGAGACAGAAAAAAAATCTCACGCATCATAGGAAAGCAATACAGTCTTCGCTATAATCAGAATCTAAAAAAACACTTTAACACCTAACCTAATAGCAACACTATACAATCGTATAAAATCCAAATAATTGGCCAAAACCCCCCAATAAATTATTTTTAAATACAATTGAATAATAATATGTTGAATGCGTTTTGTTAGAGGACCGTTACGTTGGAGCCATCGAATTCCGAGAAGTAAACGAAACAGTTATTGAAACTTTATCTATACTATGACTTTAAATAAAGGAGTCACTTTGTAGTGCGCTCAACTGAAAAACTGTTGGACTTTAAAAGTGTTGTTTAAAGTGGAAAATTATTAACTTTGATCATGGCTGAGCTACTGTAAGGTATGCAGAATTCAAATACGGCATCAGCAATCAAAATATCTGCAATGCGTACTAACTAATAACATAATTAAAATAATTCTAAAAACTATAGAAAAAAGAATTATACTAATAGTAATTTTGGCCACGTACAAGTTTGTAGTGCATGGCCAATGGCTAAATATTATTAATATTTTTGCCAAAACTAAAAATCAACGGTTTGAAATTGTGTTTTCCAAATTTGTATTTTTTTTGGGTATAATATTTCCTGGGAATTATGACTTAACCCCCACCCCCCATTTAACTAAGTCTTTGGAGCTGCCTCTGACTAACAACCTGTAATAGTAAAACTAATAATTTAAGGGAGTTTAAAAATAACATTTATGGATGGATGGATACACTGGGAATGGAATACACTGTTTTTGCGATAAAATATATTCAAGATTCTTTATTAAATATCTATTGCGCACCGTTATTAAGAAAGAAATACAAATATCAAAATCACGTGTATGAAACACATACTATAATATGTTAGTAATATAAATTATAGTTTTATGCGATAGTAATGTTATAGCTACTGAAATACTGATAGTAACTATATATTAATAAAATTCCAACTCTGCAAAATTGTATTTTTTTTAAACATTCGGATAAAAAAACATAGTTTTCGTTCTCAAATAAAGAGAAAAAATTATGAGTTTTTAAATGGTTTTGCGGTTTTATCGTCACTGATAACGCATAAAAATATTATTATTAGACACCTAATTTATCCTTAAAATCTTTATTTAAAACGTGTGTTTATAGTTACGTTTGCTTATAGACTATTAACATTTTTGATGTCAATATGTCATAATAATGGTTTTTTTTTTTCGTATTCTACAACGAAATAACAAAATTATCGGTCGTTCTATATGGAAACACATTAAAAAACTACCTATGTATGTATACAAAGCAACAAAACAAATTTAAAATGTATATAAGTAACATTCGTCAAACTTTGACCTTGTACATTATGTTATTATACAATTGATTATAATTACGAATTTGATAGCAAGTAGATAGGAAAACAGTTACGTAGTCAAAAATATGATTTGTTTATATAATTTTGAAAATACTCGTAGTCCATTTAAAAAAAAAAGAAAAGACGAACATACTTCACATAATAGATTGTACATGAGTTCTTAAGAAGATATAGGATATGCAATTAAATTTACATTTATACCGCGGAGCCCACGGTTTATAGTTGATAGAAATCAAAATAAAAATAATAATAAAATCGTCTTATCGTCATTTGTTAATGATTTGATTTTTTTAATATTTTTAAAAAAACTATTAGATATCTAATTGAATATAGATAACGAGTGAAAAATTAGCATCGTTTAAGATACCGTAAGTAAAAGTCGTTGTATTTTTACCAATCGAAATAGTGTATTCCATAAGGAGAAAAACCAAATCTTAGTAGTAAAACTATTATATTATCGTTTTATATTACAGTAAATATCTAAAAAGGAAATTCGCAATATTCGATAACATCGATTGTATTTAACATTTTGCGGTATCTACGGATTACAAAGAAAAAAACACCCGTTAACAGGGAAGCTTCGTCACTAAAGAAATTCGATTTAAGTGTCCCCTCACAGTTTGTATATATAAATATTCTTTGACAAACAATAAATAACCGTAATACAAAATTTTAATAAACACTACAATAACACAACTTCAGAAAAAAAAAATATAATAGTGGTAATGCTTCGAAAATTATCATAAAATATTTTAATATACGATACAAGATTTACATATAAAATAAACTGAAAAGATACTACCAGATACAACTGTATCTATATAATTTGAAATTCGCATATAGTAATATACTATATAAAGAAATCTTCGACGCGGTTTTTCGAATATGATATCCAAATTGTATTTCTTAAATAAATAACTTACTCGAATGTAAAAAAAAAAAAAAACAATCGTGTTTATTTTTTTTTTTTTTAAACGACAACTACGTGTGAATTTTTAGTAAAATAGCCAAATAGAATAAAATTGTGGGAGGCCACGTGCATATACGATCACAGTGTTGTGATTTATAATACATATAATGTTGTAATAATTATAATTTTTTTTTTCGAAGTAGCAATAATAATCGTTAATCTAAATTTGAATAATAATTGTTATCTCATGTTCTGATGGCATTAGCGATCAATGGGCGACCTATACACGTAAAGGTCATTATAGTAATGACCATCATCGTTTCAATCTTTCAAATTTCATCATTTTTTTTCGTATCGTGTAAAATTGAACGCAATATTTTAAAAACAGCCTAGATTTTATATATATGAAAACATTATTAGTTGTATTAAACTTATAAGAAAATATCACACTAACCATTGTTCAAACCATGCAATCGGTTTAAGGGGTAATTTTAATAAAAATTCTGTGGAAAATGACAACTAATCGACTCGAAAATATTCAAACTAACTTCCGTTTGAATTGTTGAATATCAAACGATCCCGGGTTCTTATAAGGAATATCTGTTGTATTATCGTGAAATTTCACATTCAAACACTATATACTCATCAAAATGATTTTGAAATATTTTAACATATTTTTGAAGTCAATGATAAACGCTTTTGTACCGTAAACTGACAAAAAATTTGACCAGAACAACCCGGATGGTTTTTTGATTGTAAATCTTCCGGTGTTGAATCGTAAGATTTTGTTAAATGGTATGTACGTTAATATGTACGCTATAATAATTATACGTAAAAAATATGTTTGACTTACTAGACTTCCAAAAATCGGCGACGTGATGAACGCCACCAGTTCGAAACTGCCGAACACGAACCCGTATTGCGTAGCAGTGCATCCTTTCTCCTTAGCCTATATTATAAACAAACAATACAATATTGAAATGTTATCGCAATAATATTAAAAATCAGGGGCGAGGGGGCAAAGAGATGGACTGAATGAGTGATCCGCTCATCCATAAATTCACCAGAGTTGGCCAGAAGGTGGTCTTTTAAAAAATAATAATAATAATGAAAAATAATATAACGTTCTAACATCATAAATCTTTTATAAAAAAAATCACTAGACATTGTTTCAATTCGACGACGCTCATCGTGCGATCGCCGAGTTTTTGTGTACTCGTATTACAAGTATTGAACAATCGCAATACCATTCTATAGTTATAAGTACCGGGAATTTATTAATACAGATTGTTTACGTAATAATATTTTGCATAGGAGCGAAATAAAAACATTGAATATTTTATTGCCATAACGGTAGTAAACAAAACAGAGATTCGTTGATAGAAAAAAATATAAGTATTAAGGAGCGAACACACTGAATCCGTTCAGTTCAGTCACGTCCAGTTAAATTGTTTAGCGGAGTAGCGTAACCTGGGAAACCACTTATTTTTAATATTTTTATCGTGTACATAATCATGTTTATGTACTGCATAATATAATGTTACTTTACGGTGGTGTGTAAAGTTTATTTTCATAATTCGTTGATTAATTACTTGAGCAGTATATTTTTTAAATGTAATCAAGGAAAATAACGTCAACATACAATTTTAGGTTTGTTTTTGCCCCCTCCTCCCTCCCATTGAGTAATTCTGGCTACGCCACGTGTACATATATTATATGCATGTTATCAAACGCCCGTTGAATCTGTTCAGTTTAGTTTTCTAACCTCCCGTCAATATCAGTTCAGTTCAGGGACATCTTCAGATTAATCCCAAAGCGGATAGGAAAGACCCAACCCATTCAATTTGTTTTACCAAAATCAATACTTAAGAATCGTTATAGGTACTAGATATTTTGTGACAGAGATTCGGAACATCATGCGGAGCACGAAAGTGGGGAGATCATTATTCTTAGGAACGTGCCTGGTTCGTTGTGCCTCGACTATACCAAAACGAAAAAAAACAAAAACGAAAAAGGCTGATTTAATGTGCGGTCAAGGTCAAAATCTCAACCGATCCGTTGCATTCAGAAGTTCGTGAAGTTAGCGGGAACTTGAAAAGCACTAATTTCCGTTATACCATCACATTTTAGTGCTCAATTAGTGCTTTCAGAAAATAAAAAAATAAAAATATGTACTCTTTCCAAACCCGAGTTATTGCTATAGCCAATTTTCAACTTATTCATAGTATTATTAGAACTCTGCAGTCATTTGACAATCTGACAACATTGATGGTATCATATAAATAATATTATAGTATCATCAATGGTGAAAGCACTAAGTACTAAAATTTGATGGTATAAAGGGAATTAGTGCTTTTCAACTTCAACTTCATGAACCTCACATTCGGAATGCGAATGAACCGAGCTGATCTGATCCAGTGTGCTCGATCCTTTAATATTACGATATTACACAATAATAATACAAGGTATATTACTGTGATTAGAATATTATAATATACCATAATATTATTTTACACAAGTGTTTTTTTTTTTTTTTTGCTAATATCGCAACGGTAAGCCCATATAACGAGATATGATCGTTCAACGACAGTAATTGATTTTTTTTCTTTTTCAAATACCGTTTCGAAAAGAATATTTTTATATAAGGCGATAAGGATAAGTAATTGATTTTTCGAATGGATTTTCGAGTGCACGTACGTATACACATTATAATATACTGCATACTACAAGATTTGTTATATTACGGTAGGTCACGGGAATACAAAAAACCGGTTGTTCGATAGGTTCTTCTTCCGTGAAACGGAAAAGCAAAAACCCGTGGAAACAGTAAAAATATTTTTTCGTCTTCACAGACATGATATTCTTCTACGAATTCGGGGTGTTTTTCGATTATGTTCTGGCATGGGCTGAACGACCGGTGACGGTTAAAGACCCAAGATGAAGCAATATTCGAATGATTTCGTTTACACATACAATAAATATGCATTGGTTAACATTTGTGAAACATTAGTTAGGTACGTTATACGTCATTAAATAAAGGAAGTTCAAAATTATGTTTTGATAGTTACGAGTATAGCAATAAATGACACATAATTTAGAATAATAAAATAATAAAGTAAAAACAAAATTAAATTAAATATTTATTTAACTATACATAATTTAGTGCAACAATAATGCAAGTCCGTCAACTAAATACGAAGAAAATAGTGATAAGTACTTGACTCAACTAAATTCTGGCTAAAAAAAAAAAAAAAAAAAAACAAGTGTCACAGATAGATGTTTTTTTCGTGCATTCGCAATGTTATTGCACTGAGCCTTTCAATAAGTTTATTTTGGGTGGTATTTATTATTTGATGTTTCGTGAACTCGTGATAGTATGGTATCGTAAGGTGGACGTTTTTATAATAATATCGACGATAAAATACGAAATAAAAATATTACTTTACAAAAAATAAAATGTATCATGATATCGGCGGTCGTATCGTTTGCGCGTCGTCCGTTTACTTACGCCAAAATGTCGTACCTACGTCATTCGCGCATCAACGGCTGATCATCGATAGCGCATCGTCTGTTTACTTGCTTCAAAATATTGTCGCGGAAGTTCTTATTCGTTTCGAAGTAAACACAACGTGGACAGTAATATTGCGTTATATTATTTGACAGTATCCGGCTGACAATCGAATGAAATGTATCGATCCATCGTTATTAAACAACTCGCCTGTTATCGTCGTACTAGGTATTTTTAAAACAGAAATACCCATGCAATATTTGAAAATATTTTTTTTCCCAATCGAATTCATTGGTATTACACGTTTTCCGATAAACATGATATCGATCGCAGTTGGATTTCTGGTCGAAAGCCAGCAAACAATTTGCGCTTTTGGATTGGTACTCATACTTGTATAAACTCTTTCGGCCTTTCTATTGATTGATGCGCTAACGATGCACGATATTTTGGCGTAAATGTGTTTAGAAAAAAAAAAAAAAAAGGTCGAAATGAACAATATTATAGTGACGAGCAAATGATATACGTCCTATGATACAGAGGGTTCATAGAGAAGCCCCAATTTATCCCGAAGAATTTCTTGGTGTACTGACTCAGAAATCAAGACAAATTGATGTCATTTTATAGATTCAATATTTCAATCAAAAATATAGTAAGTTATAATTTAATACATCTTGTTTTTGTATGAGAAAGGGAATGTAAGAGCCTAGCCCCGACGGCTCACTTTCAAATACGTTTTCATATCCCCGATCCCGGATAAAAAAATCTTCAAAACACCCCTGGGTGTGTGATTCTTTCTCGGAGGATTTTATAGTAGTATAGGTGCCAATTTGATTTGTGTTTTTTTTTTTCAATCTTCAGAAAACCATTATCTAATTGACCAATATCAACAAATAGGTGTGTTTGGACCTATATAAAAAAAATACATTGTTCACGTTTCGTACTACAGCTTCAAAATTGAATAGACGTGTATTTTCGATTTTCAAATGTTTACAACGAAAACCGTATAAATTCACGATCACGTCCGAGCCATAGGCTACAACAATGCACGGATAGAGTTATTTTATTATCTACCGTCCAAATACGGTTTTAGAGGCTATAATATTACAATATTATCCCTGTGTTTACATAACATTGACTATTAAGTAGGAACGTACTTATATTACGTATTATAATAAATGTAACGTAATATTATCATGCGGTCACTTGCTAAATTTCGTGATAATAGCAATTATTGAAATATCGTTATAATCTGTTAATGTATACCTAATTATTATTATTTAGATAACGTAATGATAAATCATGATGCACGTTGTGCGGTCTGGACGTATAAATATGTGGTAGTACGTACACGTTCGATTTCCACCGACAGGACGTCATAATAATATTATCATATCGGTATACATATTTTGGAAAGAGAAAACAATAATATTATTTAACAAATCTATGTAAGCGTCTAATTTTTATGGCTAAACGATAATATTACAATTTGAGATTTTGTTTTTGATTTCTATTCCGAAAAAAAAAAAAAAACAATGATAATAATAAAGAACTATCAATACGGATTAAAATACAAGTACAGTAATATCATAATGAAATTACCTCGACGTTATTTTTTTATTAATACAATGGCGAATATTGATTTTTTTTTTTTTTAATAATTACCGCGTACTCGACGAAACTTATCGAGAATAATAATATTGTATTGCGGAAACATCTCCGACCCGGAAAAAAATTAATATTTTTAATTAATAATTCCATTTTAAAAACGATTAAAATTCATTAAAACTCGAGTAGTCTGCGCGTAAAATAACGTCAAGGACCACATTTATTATTATTATTTTCTATAAGTACTTAGAAATGCATTCGCGCATTTCACAAATTGTGCAACGTTCATAACGAAAATAAACGTAATCATATTTAGTCATTGCAATTTACGTACGAAAGTCGTGAAAATGTTCACATGGTTATTAAGAATTAGTTAATATTTTAACCGGGTGGCACGTTATCGGATGGATTTGGCGTGTTAGAAGATACAGCGCTTCTATTCCCCCCTCCCCCCGGTAAAAACGATGCGAAAACTAGTCGTAAATCGAATCCTCAAGTATTTTGATCGACAACGCAAATGAGTCGTGCGATAATAATACAAAAAATACGTACGTTACTGTCCCGACGCTGAGGTCTCGGGAGTTTGTTTTTTTTACACAATTGAATCGGCCACGACGGTTTCGCGTTTTTGTGGCTCGATATAATAATACCTGAATGCAGTCGTTTCGCAGAGAATCGGTTATTATATAGGTATCGAAAAATCGCGGGTCATCGATATCTGTCGGTTTAAGGTTTTTTTTTTTTTTTTCTAAATCGAAAGGTTAAAACCGCTCGATATGGAATTACGCATAACATATCGCCACAGAGTATATTTTTAACGTGTCTATACAGATTGAATAGTTGGCATCGAGATGAAGACCATTAGTTTTTCATCCGGGCGCTTTACCCGGTATTTTTGTTTGAGGGGAGGGGCTTTAAGAATTTATCTTCCTGGGTCCTTTTTCGGAAAAAACTGTCAATGCATCGGATAGTCACAATGGCGAAACCGAATGGATTGAATAAATTGTTCCAACGAGCTGCGACTAACGAGGCACTATGTATTGTTGATACCAGTATAATTCTACACAGACGAATGTCCGTTTAGTTGTCCCTCCCCTCACTTTTTCCGATCGATTCCAAACCGGTGCCATTATTTCTTGCAACTAATTTGCAACTTTAGGTAACCTTCGTCAAAAAATTTGCAACCTCATACTTTAGACGGAATCCATTGTTTTCATTGGAGGAACTACCCACTAATTATATATATTCGTATAGTATGTCTTAGAACTAATTTCTAATGTTTAATATACCCTCCACTTCCAATTAAGTGGGAACATTAAAAAAATAATAATAAATCTCCTAAAATAATAAATGTTTAAATAAAAAAAATACACTATTTGTCTGTCTTAACATCAATAGTTTAAAATACGTGTTTTAATTTTATAAAATTCGATTTAATCCATATTATATAACACAATACAGAATATTTAATGATTCAGTTTAATTTATTATTTAAAATATTGTGCAAGTAGTACCATTTAAATCACTTTTTTATGTAAATTACTAATACCGACATGCCGGTTAAAAATCAAAAATCGTTTAAAAAAAAAAAAAACGATAAAATAAAAAATGTATACTTTTAGGTTACTACCGTTTTATGTAAACTGATAAATGTGGGTTGACTTTATTGTCAGTGTGTTTTGATTTTGAAATTTATTTTTGAGGTCATTGAGTAATTTCCAATATCCATGTACAGTGTACAGTCTTAAAAAAAATGAAGATCAAAAACAATACGTGCTTCAAGCTGTCGAAGATTATCGCCATAAATACCCGAACAGTTTAAAAAGCACAGTTATAGAACCATTATAATTATTTTTATTTGTATACTTTAAAATATAAATGTCATTTTGTAATAATATTATTTAGTTGTTACGTTTTTCAAAAGCTTGCATGTTTCATTGTTTCATAATCAGTTATATTAATAAATNACAATTTAATTTACTATAAATAATGTCAGAAATTTATTTTTGTAAGAAATGATAACAACGAGATAGCAGTCAATCAATTAAAAAAAACTGTGGTTACTTGAACGGAACCATATATTTGAACTTTGTGGGCTGGGGGGCACGGGTTAAACTTAATCTATCGATATGAAATTTTGTATACTTCATTTATATACATATTTGAACCAATTTAGGGGGTAAGACTGAAAAAAATCCAATATCAAAAAATAAGGGCCACCCTAATGTACACGTTTTATAACAGCTACGTAATTTGACCGATTATCGTCTGCCGCCCGGTGCGTTTTTATTTGAAACGGAGTGTAGTACATTCCGAAATATTAAATGGCTTAAGTTTAGTTGATAATCCTATATTTTAAATATATATAAATATAATATTATAATTTCAATACGAATACATTAAACAAATGCCGATCAAGGAAAAGAAAAAACAAAGTCTGCAGTATATTATGGGTTGTGTGTTTATTTACACACAGGTTTCAATTTAAAAATTCATCATCAATATAATGGCCAAGGCGAAATAAACGCCAAAGTGTAAAACACTCAAGGCTTTGTTTTTTTTTTTCTATTGATGAACTTTTTATTTATTTGTGATCTATATTATATACATAATATATTACATTTAACTATTTATTATTATTTTATAATATCTTTTTAACAATTTTTATTTTAGATAATTATTTCAATATCAATTTTTCTTTCAAATTTTTATTTCCAGATTTGTGTTTTATCGTTTAGTTGCCTACGACTTTGACCATTATATAGCTATAATAAAACAAATACATGGAACTTGGGAAACATATAATAATTTAAAAAAAAAATTACGAAGTCAAAACAGGATAATATCAATGTAAATCCACATTTAGTATTTTACATAAAATAGTGACTTAAAGTGTACTACTTGCACAATATTTTAAATAATTAATTAAAATTAATTATTAAATATTCCGCATTGTGTTATTTAATATGGATTAAATCGAACCTAACCAAAATTGAAAGATTGATTCTGACGAAACTACGAGGTTGCAAATTTGTTCACGAAGGTTGCCTAAAGTTAAAAATTAGTTGCTAAATAATGGCACCGGTTTGGAACCGATCGGACAAACTGGGGGGCCAACTTCACGGAAGTCACAGTCGACGGTCAAAATTATCATTGTTATCGTAGTTATCGATCTAAGACGACAGGTGACGATCCGACGTAATCGCTAGTATAAATCAAAAAATAATTTTCAACGAAATAATCGATCGTCGACTGCCACAAACCTTATCTCATAATATTGAATTATTAACTTGTATCAAACATAATAATCAAATAAAAAAAAAACCTATTTTATTTTTGTAACAACCGTAATAATATTATATTATAGGAACGAATTTAAGGGAGGGCTTACTCCCAACCCCCCCTGGGTTCATCCTATAAGGCGACAGATTTGAACCTTCGCATCCTGTGGGGATGGTGAGGGGCAGCAATATTCTTTCGTTGCGAATTCCCGTCATAATGAAATTCTGTTATTAACCCGCCGAGGCACATAAAATGGCCACTACCGTGACCGCAGTAAATAGCGCGACTCTGCATTCAACGGTGATGGTTGTGGATTTCGACAAGTGCTATGCCTATAGATTTCTAAAAAAAAAATTATTAAATCATAATTCGTGATTTGACAGCAACGCGTAACGGCCACAACGAGATTTACGAGACTGAAATGTCTAGAGCGGAACACGACCCGTATGCCCCCGTCCTACTAAAACGCCGCCACTGATCCTAAATATACAGCGATTGACAGTGCACGTGTCAATGCCCCGGGCCCCGGCCGGTTTTGTATTGATCGAAACATATTGCCCGATATCGACAAACGGACGTTTATATTGTTAACGACGACTATTGCAATAGTTACCTATAGTTATCCGGTATTTTAACGCGAAAATATCACGGCCCAATACGACGGACGCGTGCAATCGCTGTTGACTAAACATATTCGTTTTGCCGATTCAACCCCCAGCGGGGTTTTGTCCGACGGGTTAACGGAAACGTCCGTGCGCAACCGGAACGTCTTATAGTACGGCCTTATGAGTTACGGCTGACGATCATTCCGAGGGCACGGGGATTGTGGTGCGCGACGTTTTTCGCCACTTTTGAACGGGGAAGGGGGGAGGGAAAGAAAATATGGCGCCATTCGGCCGGCTGAAGTACTCACTTTTTCCGGGTAAAACGGCGCCTGTAACGATATGCAGATGGCGCAGCAAAAGTGCACGGACCCGACCACGGCCAGGATAATCCATTCGGAAAGCGTGAACTTCATTGTTGTCGTCGTCGGTCTGTCGTCGTGTCGTCGACCTGTGCTTCGGCGGACGTCGCGACCGTCGTGTCGTCCTGTGGGCGGGCAGAAAAATATAATCAGAAAAAAAAAAAAAGTGAAAAAAAAAACCCAAAAATTATACAGGTATACGGTAAACTAGGTGTTGAACTACGACGTAATTACAGATTCGAAACGACTGAATCGCGCGAAATCGGCGGTTATAGCGACAATAATATCGGTGTAACACACACACGACGATGATGATGATGATGATGATGATAGTAATATGATTATTGTTAACGATTCGTAAACAGATATGTACCGATTGAGTATTATGACAGAGCGGCGTTTTTTGCGCCGGTGTGTGGCCGGTGTGGCGGTGTCGAAACGATGCGCCCAACAGACTGAACCCGACACTGAACCGGCGGACGTCCGAAACGCAATTTCTGTACCGTCCACGCGATCAAAAACCAATCGCTATGAAGGTACACGCACGGCCGCCGCCGATTTGACGTATGCGTATGCGTGTGTATGTGTGTGCGTGTATGTGTGTGTGTGTGTGTGTGTGGTGTGCGTATGAACCGGAGGTAAAATATTATAGATAAAAATACGTTTATACGGGTACCTAATATCGTATTGATATTGTAATAATAATTATTATTGTTGTGTTGTTCGTGTTATTATTATTTAACCGTGGCCGGCGGCGAGATAACGAGGAAAAATCTGTCGTCGATAACGGCCGCGGAGTGTGGACTCGCGGGTCGAATTATTGCGCACAATCGACGTCCCGCAGTTCCAAAAACGAAAACAATCCTTTATTACGTGAAACGTATTGTAATCGTTGGTCCCCTGCATCGGTGGCCACATTCGGGGGAGGGGGTTCGCGTTCGGGTGTCCGGCGATAAAACGTCCAAACACCAGGTACCTGTCGACAAATATCCCGCGTACTTATTATACCGACTACCGACCTTTCGTTCGTTCATTAAGGCCACGTGGTTTGCGGTTTTCGCGATTTTTATGAAAATCCGAAACACGGCTATTTAATAAAATACCATTATTTCTTTTTCTTTTTTCTTTTCTAGTAAACATAACTCTTTCCCCAAACAGTTCGACCTGGTGTGTTGAAAACGGTTGAAACGACTTACTTGACTGAATTTGAAGATGGAATAGATGAATGAGGAGAATTCGGAAAGAAAAAGACATCCGTCGGATTTTAGTATTTTATTTCGTATGCAGTTTATATTAATATGTACTTTAATATGCGACCTGATCGGATTTCCAAAAACGGTTCTTATCATCTTTCGAACAAGTGCCATTCACCGTCAAATAATAACACAATCGTCCGGTTAACGCAATATTATCCGCCAAACCGTCGAATTCAATAATGCGTATTATTATATTAATACGTTATCTACCCTCGGTTAGGTTAATAAAAATCAAAAATCATAATATCAAAAAGTTGATAAAAATCATGGACACGGACAACTCGGTTTTATACGTATCTACCCACGGGCTGATAAGCAACGATAAGAAAATGAGCCGTTCCTTGTACTCCAATAATATTGGACTATTGAACTATTTGAGTATTTTTAAAGACTTTAATAAGTATACCTGTTACGCTTTCGGACCTTTATCATTAATCGCCCTTGCCATTAAGCGTCCTTATCATTTTCAGATATCCGTTCCAACTACGTATTGGTATATCACACCGATCGAATCTATTAGTTTTCTTAAATTTTAGCTATTGGTATCCGAGTGCGTGATACGAATATTATGTCAATCATAATAATATTTTGATAACACTATAGTGTGAACGACCGCCAATGTATTTGCAGATCAGTTCGTGCATACGACTATCTATCTACCTACGGGAGAAACGACGAAACGTAAAATAATATACGAATTCGTGACCATCAAATCAAAACTATATACCCAGGTACTTAAACTGCTCGCGCCCTTTGAATTAATTGTATATTATATCGTTAATATAAACGCATTTTGATCAACTTTTATCGGTTAATGTTTTATATTTAGAAAAGAAAAGGAAAGGAAAACAGACGTTTACGTTTTTATAAACGTGGACTTTATAGCAAACAAACAACTAACAAGAAAATAAAACCGTTTCTTTAAATAATAATAATAATAATATTAACAACGCTGCAGTGAGGTACCCTAAACGACGCAGAATACGATAAAAAATATTACAATATTATATTACCCGGTGCACACCAATCCGAGTGCTGTAATGAGATTAAAGTCTGACATAGGTACCTACAGTATTTTCGCTACGAGAATATTATTATGAATGACTTCGTTTACACTATATACACTGGGTATAATATCATACAAAATATGAATTAGTGAAAAAATATATATATAAGAATAAATAGGCAGGTGTATCATTTTGTTTTTCGTTACCTAAAATATTTTTATGATGAAAAATGGCGGACCATTATACGCGTATACGCAAAAGTCCACAGTGTTATTGTGATTTGTGAGGAAATAGGTGTAATATTATTATTTATTTCGAATTCGTAAAACAATAAATCAAAATATTAAAACGAAACCGCGTTACGTTTACCGTATATCGTATAATGTTAAAGTTAATGTTTTATGTATAGTATATAATATCACGCGATAACTTTTAAAACTGACATTGTGCCATATCAATCCTCGGGCGATCAATTCTTGATAAGACACTTATTGTAACACCGAATCACATTAACAAACAAAATCGAAAACAATGAAATTGTTATTCCCTAAATTTGTTCCAATTACAAAGAAAACACCAAGGAAAATCAAAATAATGGCCTTCATAATACACCGACTAGACGAAATTTGCTTTCAGGAATGATGCTACACTTAAAAATCGAAGCAAGATTTCTGGTAAAAAGAGTCGTTTCCGGGCAGAGTAAGAAAATAATAGAAGATTTTATATCATATTATAGTAAAACAATAGTTATTGTTAATTTTGGCTGGACAAGTCACTGGAGTAAGAAGACTGCAATATATAACTTAAGATTGGCTGGTTTCGATAACCAGATCTTGAAAAGGATCATCAAGAAGATTTGTCTACGCATCCTCATACTGTATGTATTGGAATTTTTATTTGTCAACAAAGGATGACAGCAGTGGTGCAGTAGTGTTCACGCAGATTCTCTATTGCGTTCGACTAAAACAGGAAAAAAAATGAAAATATTTTTGGCTATTTCTTTTTCATAATGTTGATGGTACTGTGACGTGACCATTCTTGTCCGTAAAAAATTAGACGGCCAAACCGAGAATCGAACCTGAGTCTTTCGCTTGCCAGACAATTACTCTACCAATTTTACCATTGTGCTGCCCGGTACCCGATTTCTAAAGTTCTAACACTATTTCCACTGGATTTTAACGGTCTAATGTACCGGGTTAGGGCGATGGGTGTAGAGTGGCCGTACGGTTGAATAGACGATGCGGCGGTCGGGGGCCGTGTCAATTGTACTACTGTAGGCAAACTGTAACAGGGTGTGCGGACGCGAATGTTTTTTATCATTTCTATGGCCTTCGAATCTCCGGAAACGCGTTGGATTTCAACATTTTCAAGAATAATAATAAAATAAAATAATTCACGGTGATGACGAACATTCTTCTAAAGTCTTCATAATACTATACAATCGTCGTTCTTAGTGGATAGTTAATTATTGTGCAATACGGTTCAACTATTTAGATAGTAATATGGTTACACTATAATATGGATATTTTTTGTTATTCACACTGCAGCTAGGATAACACTGCACAATCGCATATTATAATATAATATGACAGTGTCTATTATTATCTCACGCAAGATTATTATAGACCTCGTATTGTTATTAAATAATGTTTACGCACCCACTCTAAATATCTAATCAAGAAATTATTATATATTATTAATCAATAATTAAATGATTATAATTTTAATATTGTTACGGTACTTGAAAGCTGACAGCTATATAGTTAGTGTTATTTTAATTATGAACTCGAATTTAAACGGGAAAAACAACAAAACAATATGTCATCAGCTACTTCAGCAGTCATCTCGGTAATAATTTAATATTATTGCGATAATTCTATTGATTTAACTATAACAACAATAGAGGTATGAGTAGAATTACGTAAAGGTACAAATTAAATAGCATTCATTTGTTCACTCTATAAATAAACCTTCCTATAGAGATAATAATATAAGTGTCACATAAAATAAAAAATAAAAAAAAAAAAATGAACATTTTCTAATGGATATTAATGTAATAATGTAATACTATCATTTAGACATCGTTAAGACTCCGATGTAAATTAGTTCATCGGCAAACGAAAAAAAGTAATTATAATAAAATTTAAAACGGACCGTTTGCTCGTGTAGTCGAAGAAAAATACATACATGTATACGGTATATAGTTTTTTTTTATAGGCTTTACGAGTCGTTTAAATTCTTTGCCGCCAAAACTACTTCCTTCCATCGCGGCCTCTATGAAAATATGCCGATTCTCATTACGCTCCGATTTCTTTTGACAACTACTTAACCCCTAACTCTTTCTCAGTCTTCTCCCTATAAAGAAGTTCCTACTAAGTAAAAAAAAAAAAGTTCAAATGTCAATAAGTGTAGGTATACGTATGTTATATTATAGATTAGGCGTTTATTTGTATTATTAAACTGTTATTTCATATTTTAAATGTACTCAAACTGATTATAATGTATCAAAAAAATAATGAAAATGGCATAATACTTAATACATTTCATAAATAAATAGATGATGATGATATCTTTAAAAAAAAAAAAAATCATTTATTTTTTTTTCCAGTGTACAATATAACACTTGTAGTTTTTATCGAGGGCCGTGGGGAAAATTCACGGGCCCCAGGGACAAATATTAAATTTACCACCAACACCCAGCGCGGTCCTTTAAAATGTGTATATCAAAAAAGTTTAAGGTCCGAGATAAAAGGTCGAGGTTAATCAGAAACACTAATCATCTTGTTATTAATACACATCATGTGGTATAAAATAATCACTAAATTATTAACATTTTTCAAAGTAAAAAATTATGAAATTAAACTAAAAATAATTGTTATGTTAATGTGAAAACTGGGCGAGATATAGGATCTGGATTCTTTGATTGGGCCCGGGCCCCGGGGCTACACCCCCGACGCCCCACTCTCATCGGGTCTGTTTCTATCGCCGTACTGATATACTGACGTCGTAACAGTGTCCGTATAATATCAGGCGCGGGGTCTATACGTAAACCGATACCGGTCCTCCGGAGAAATCCCCTAACCCGACCTTTTTTTTCCGAGAAATGCCGTTGGAATACGAAACAGAAAAAAAAACCAACGACGTTTCGTCAAACGGACATACCGGTTGATTCCATTACCGACCGTCCGGGGTTTCAAAGACGTCGGATATTTTATGCCGGTCCGCGTGCGCATTGTGCGCCGTTAATGTTGCGCGGGTTTAGCGACGCGGCCGCGGTCACATTTCGATATAATTTATAACGCGAACAATACGAGCGGCGGGTACTTACGGGTCTGTGCGCTTATATAATTAGACGAACGGAATAATCGTCGCGCCGCAGCTCCTGTACGGCCTCCGAGACGCGGGAGATACGATATTACGTAATCGCAAACGCACGATTTTCGGTACGCCCAACCGGCTCCGATATCGACTGCCGCGCATTTCCCGAACGGTTAACGACGAGACGGACGGGTACGTCACGCATTGTACCGCGGCGACCGCGCGTAACAATAGCCGCGGCCGGCAAATAGCACTCGCCGTGATCAAATCATTGGCGAGTTTGATCGATAAAACGCGGTTCGAGTAAACCGCCACGGTGTATTATTGTAACGCCAAAAACACGCGCACGCACACACCGCAATACGGAAGCCGACGCGTATATTGCGATTCGCGGCCTCGTCCACACGTGGCGAGCGCGCGCGTGTGTGTGTGTGTGTGTGTGTGTGTGTGTGTACGAACGGGATCCGACAATTTCATTTGTATACGCGAATGCGTACAGAATTTGTCAGATCCTGTGAACACACCCCGTATATTACGTTTGCTCGCGGTCGTATAACCTACATTGGTAGGTACACGGTGTATTTTTTTTTTTTGTAAATTAAACAATTACATTTATCGAAAACGTCGCAGTCGTACCGCGATTTGTCAGTGTCAACGCGACCGTTTTCTTTGTATACAGCAATATACAAATCCGCCTACTTTCATCGAACGATTTTGGTGTTTTTTTTTTTTTTTTTATTCCGCGCGCAATTATTTAATACATTTTATTATTGTTACACCGTAAATGAACGACAAGTATAATATATATGTATCGAAAAAAACGTATATTCAACAATTACTTATCGTTTATACATCGAAAAGATAAATACAATATTCGTGGTACTGGAATACGAGGGAAAATTTCTCTGCGGAAATTATATACCTCTTCGGTAAAATATTATGGGAGGGGATCAACGACCACTAGGTAATGCGACTTTACCCCCGGATAGTTTACGGAGGGGTATAATAATTCCTCTGGTGATATTCAAGGGGTTTAAATAGAACATGAATCAATTTTCATTTGGTCACACCGGTCCACTTGACGATAGTGTTAGATACGAACGGTGATAGCGTTGATTCCACGAAACTGTTCACTAAAACAATAGTGACTGCAGCGTCCACGCGATGATAGTAGCAAAATGACGCGAAAACGATAGTAGAGTGATTTTCGATAGAAATCTCGGGAATATTCTGATATTTTTTTATACTTCTAATATAAATATAAATAAAATTAATTTTTAAAGGTTACAACAATATGTACGATGCACCTAGTAAGAATATTATAATTGTTATTAAAATTCGAAAATATTTCATATGTAATGTAATCACTGTTGGTGGTGCATTGGTTTGACAGTCTGTACATATTAGGAACATCCGAATATGGGTATTTTCTAAAATTATAACAGTTGTTTGTTATTTTCGGAAAAGATATCAATAATGCTGTTCCGTTTGTCATTATACCCGCATGTCCGCATCTGGAATACCGAAAACCATTGCCTACAACCGGCGTCGTTTAGTAAAGTGATTCTGAAACAGAAAATTTTTCTTATTCTGATGTAGATGGTACTTCTACATCAGAATGACATAGTTAATGATGCACAACAATTAACATTAAATAATATATTGCTAAGTAGTTATTTGTAATTAAAACTTTGAAAATTTAATTTTCTTTGTGTTATATTAAATATATAATAGATTTCATAAGATTTTTATTGTAATTCAATTTTTTCCAATTTTTTTATAATTTCAGCCCACTGTTGAGCGACCGTTGAGGCAATACAAATATTTTTTTTAACCATTCGCTACATTGAATTTCAAGTTTATCTTTATGGTCTCTTACATTTTTCCATCTAATAGATACTTCATCACAAAAAGTTTGGACCTTAAGCTTTAAATCATTTTCAAAATCTACTGAAATATTTTCCGTATTTTTAATTTTTGATAAAATAAATTTAACAAGTTGGTTTACATAATCGGAATCTTTTGATAACACTGAGTATTCATTAAACAAACGAAACGAAATTTTTTTTTTTAAAAAAAAATGAAGAACTATGCGCAATTCAAACATTTATTACAACATTATATTGAACGTTTTAAATACTTATTTCAATAAATTGAAACACCAGTTAGCATTTATTATAAAATCTAGTAACGTGTAACTATTTAATAACTTTTGTTTGTACATTTATTTATACGTTTGTAATCAATTTAATATAGCCAATGATAATTAAATGAATTCTTCGAAATTTACCTGTGAAATCACCATTAAATGCCATTTCGTTTAGAATGTTCAAAATTAAATTCATAATTTAGAACCATAAATTACTAAAACCACACAGTACGTCACGGCAATGAATGACGGCATACTAAATAATACATGCTCGCCTAATTATTAGTATGAAAAAGACGGGTCACACAATAAAATTTAATCTATATCACTATCTTAATGCTCTATTGTATAAATCCAGATAAGAAAAATATCGAAAACTGTATTTATACATTTGTATATTTTCCAATTATTAATAATTTTAGCCAAACGTGCGGCGACCCGCGCGTTTTAATTACTGATAATATTATGTCCAAAAATAGCAATGAAATAAACCTTTAATTTCAAACATTCAAGTGCATTTGAATGTTGGCACTTGACGAGCGACGACGGAAGTATCCCCTGCGGTTTATTCGTCTGGACTGGATGACTGCTTAAAAGGTAATAATGTACTTAAATTACTTATTTACTTATTCATTGTTCAACCTTACAGCGGGCGCGCTATTAAAAATGCCACAACAATTTTGTTCGACTTTGGTCCTTTCCGTCTTTAGTTGCAATTTTAATTTTGATTTCATCACTTGCATTACACAAGTTTAGTAGCGCAACATTATGGATAGTCACCGACCATAACACGCATCGTTCCTTATGCGGGTACCTAATTTATTATTTTATAGACAAATAAACAAACAGTTCGTGTGGCTATGATAATATGAAACAGAGAAGGGCCCAGACCGAATATTCTTGGTTCCTTAGCGGTGTAAAGGGGCGTGGGGAAGGGTGCCAGAGTGATTGAGCCCGTGGGCGCCAAAACGCTAAATTCGCCACCGGCGCACTTGCCAGTACACGTCCAATGGCCACACTATTACAATATACTATTTCACTTCAATGCTGGTTGCGCTGTAACGTTCGGTAGATAGTTGTAGCCAACAACGTACGTCACGCATGCGCGATAGTGTGATAGCGGATTTAACGGCAGTTCACGACAGTCGCTTTCGCCGTACTTGGCATTTACTATCGCGGCGTTGCCAGGCTAATTATATAGTCGCAGCGAGAACACTGCGGACCGTCGTCGTCGGTGACTCGGTGCGTGTTTCGTTTGTCAACGGAGTATTGGGAAATCGACAAACGAGTCAATGCGATTTCCAAACTCGAAGTTCGCGTTGTTCGTCTACGAGAACGCATTATGGGAAAACAAATACGTTAGTCAGGATACCACGTCTACCATATTATTGTTGTAGTTTATTGTTGAATGCATTAAATTATTATAGGTGGGTACACGAGATATGGAAACCATGCATTCTCGGTACACAGTACTCGATGCATAAATCTAACAATCCGCAGGTTTTCTACACGTTACATATTTAAACACCGTCTGCTGGTGTATTTAATCCGCAATAATTTATCATTGACCAACTGCAATAACTGCATGCCGATTTACTCGATGTAATATTATGCGCTATTTCACTGAAAAACACTGTCAAATCATTTGAAATAAAGGTACCTATGTTAATAATGTTCTCGGACATTCTAACAGTTTTTGGTAATTTTCGTATTTTCCAGGGTACGGGACGCGTTAAGATGTAGAGTTAACAACTAGGTTTTAACATTTGATTTTTTTATTACTTTCACTTATTTTTGTCACATTGACCAGTAAGTTTTGGATTATACACCAGCACACGAGAGCACATGTTATATTAATATTTCCTCTTCTTTTAAATTTATCACAATATCAAATTTACAACCTATACACTTTATTTGAATAACGCGCGGTATAAGTAATAAAGTTTTATTCTAAATTCTTTTTTTTTTTTTTAAAGGGGCGAGAGCAAAGGGCCTGAATCTATAAGTTTAAATGACCTCTCCCGCCTTTCACATTGATCATCGTTATTTTCAAAAGATCCTAAACTCTAGGGTTAATCATTGATTTCCTTATGCATTATGATAATAATCGTAACGAAATAATACCAATGTACTCGTCGATGCAAAAAAAAATTAAAAAAATACAAAACTTTAATTAATTAGTTAATGAATAAACCTGCTAACTTTTAACGTTTTTCTAGTTAACTGTTTTCCTATTGACTTAACAGAGTCAAGGTGGGTTGCATAAACGTTTTTTAGTAGCTCATTAGCACGATTCGGATCTGTAAATAACATTGGGGGTTTCTAGAACCCTCAATAGTACCTAAATAAATAAACAATTTTTTTTTTCTTCAGTGCATAAGCATATTTCGTTTGTTTTTAGTGCATAAATGCATGCGAATTCATCACTTTTTAGTGCATTAAATTCATATAGCCCTGGTCATTAGACGCGTGTCTGTCGGTCAAATTAATGTTCAAATTAGATAGAATATTTTAATATAAATGTTTATATATTTAAAACACATATCAAGTGTTATATTTTTTGACTCGGATGTTTTGGATATTTTGTACATTGGATATTGAATTTTGGGCATCCGCGTACTGGATTTTATTTTCTGGACATTTCGTACTGGAACCGCCTGCACGTATTATTTACGATTGATAATCGTAATAATAATCAATTGGCATACTCGTATAATACCTTAAAGTTTAAATATTTTATCGGAATCGGATTTTACTATACGTAAACGTTACCACATATAGTCAATATAAATATAGGTGTAATACGCCAATTAAAATAAAACATTCTTTATCGTCCACGCAGATTGTTTGCCTATAAAATCGTTTAAAATATCACTCGCGTGCAAAAATAATGTTCGATACGGTATCGGTATAATGTAATCACGCAAATATAAAATGTGTACATACGAATATTAATCGATGTTGATCAAAGGCCATCAGTGAAATTTGTATCGGTGTTTATTAATTAAAATATAATATATTATTATTACATGTAGTAAGTAAATACGATATTACTATACAAACGCTGTATTACATTCAATATAATAACCGAACAGAGTTCATAGTACCTTGTATTTTTACATAAAATATTTATATACTACTGTAATGTAAGAAGATTTTTTTTTTTTTAACCATTATACTATAAGAATTATTAAAACTATAATATTTGATGTTTCACACCTCATTTACAGTACCTATATCTCAATATTAAATAATGTATCAGCGGTTCCCAAGCCACGGGCCGCAGCTTGTCAAAAATGGCATTGATTTTATTTTCACATTAACCAATTGTTTAATAGTTTAATACAACGATGAACTTCTTTTTTTTATAAAAAAATATTTTTAATTTTAATAACCCTCCCCCCCATTTTTCTTTAGCATTTATAATAATATACAAGGTTGTTTTTAAACATGTTCAGTGTTCATCCCATTTTCATGGTTAAATTATGCATAAATTCAAATTTTGACGTTTAGAAATTTTAAGTGTATTGTGAAAAACCATATTTTCGAATATTTGTGAAAAACATGTAGGTTCTCATTTGAAAAACCAAAGTTGTTATCGCCACAGAATATGCCTTAAATTTTGTGAAAATTATAAGTACGTGAAAATATTGTCGTTAAAAGCACTCAAAAATTTCAAAATAATACATTAGGGTGGGTGGCCCCTAGCTTACTCTTGTAATTTTTTACGTATGATTTGTGGCACCTCCTCATTTGTTTTTAATACCCCCAAAAGAAAAATAACTGCAAAATTTGAAAACGATATTTGAAGTTTAATCTTAATTTAATAGTTTAATGTATACCATACAATATACATACATCTATAATAATATAAAAGTTTAATCCCTGGGTTATCGTAGGTAATAGTAAAAAAAAGTCATCTGTAGACATACTCCAACGTAACTATGTGCTCTGAAAAACATATTTTATTGTTTGAATTTTAGTTACAAAACTAATTTTATAATATATTATACAACATAAAATAATGAATACTCTGTTATCTTTCATGTGTATAAAAAAGTTAAAAGAGAAAAACATTGTACAGATAAATTAGCAGAATTTGTCAATTTTCTATACAATCATTATATATATATATATACGATTCTGCACAAATCTTACGAGAATACTCTCTGGATAATACATTGCAAACGAAAACGTTATAAATAATGTTTTACATTCGTTTCGATTTCGGAATAAAGTCGGACTCTTAGATTACTATACAGGGTGATCAATATAACATAAAATACTCATTATCTTAGTAAGTATTAACTCTTTTCGAAATCTGTTTTTTACATTTTTAAAATTTGAGAAATATTTTTTTTATTTTTAGTTAAACATTCTATAAATATATGAAGTTATAATTCAAATACATATTGGTATTTTTCAACCCGTTGACGAGATATTCCCACTTTTATATTTGCCGTTTTGTGCGTAGGAGAAGAGTATAGTGGAGCGCTATTCAAACCTTACGCGCCGCGCCGCCACACAGATGATGTTCCATTACTATATTATCATTTATCATCCTAAACAGATAGAAGAAAATTAAAAGTTTCGACACCGAAATTTATTTTAACAGAAACTATTTATCTATTTATGGAAGTTTGTTAATGTTGATGGATGTTTGAAAATCAAAAGTTGTTAGGTACCTATAGTGATTTTAAGGTGTTAATAGTCAATTTAACATTTTAGAGCTAAGTAGTTTCTCAATTGTTATAAAAAAACAAATTTCGGAAGAAAATAAAAAGCTAATACTTTTCGACATAATGATTGTCTAATGTTTTATTGTTCGCTCTGTATATAATAATATGATATTACATTGTTTCCAAACAATCGGGACGCGCCGCAATATTCCACTTTGAATATTATTACGATTATCGTTATTAAAAAATACCTGCAGCTACGATATGCAAAAGCTTTGTAAATTTTTATATTATAACTGTCCAATTATCATACACGAAAAATGTTTCCTTTGATATGTAAAAAAAATAAAATAAATATGTACAGTATATGTGTATTATGCATAAAATAAAGTAGATAATATTTTTGAGTACTTGGGTTAGTTATAAACTGTATTATATACATTTATCATACTGTATTATTATGCAAGCCGAGCCGCGTTGGATTTTGTAAAACGGAATATCTCTATCTGTCTCTGTGATCCGAACATTTATAATTTCTGTGTAACGAATGTAATATTA